AGCTCTGCCTCAGGTTTTTGACCTTGAAATGAGATGTTTAAAGGGGGTTGTTCCACTGATTGGGACCAAAGAACAGATACATTTGGTGGGAGATGTACCCATACCACATTCCCCATGAGTACAGAGCCAGACTGAAAAACTAAAAGTGAACATGGGCATAGGGGGTAAGCTCAGAGTAGCCCTTGTACTAATGTGGAGGTCCTGAGAAGACCTCCTCCTAGTCATCAGTTTGGAGTCTGAGTCTCAGAGATGTGATCCAGGTAAAGACAAGGTTCTTGGTCAGAGGAGGCCTGAACTACTTGTTAGTAAAGGTAACGGGTTCAAAAACCACATTTGTATTATCCACACTGAAGCAGGAGGCACATCCAGGCCTCACAGTTAATGGCCCATGTCTTACAGCTGTCCTTCCTCTGTAGGGCTTCAGGTCTCTTGTTATTCAGAACTAAATCTGTACTCTTCTGGCCAGGGCTGCTGTCTTCTCCATTAAGACCCTTGGTGGCTTCCTCTCTGCTATCTAGAATGTTATGGAGCTGTGGCTGGCTCCAACCGTACAGAGACCAGTGCAATGGGGGCCTTTCTACCCAATCCTCTCCTGCCTCTCATGGGATGAGATCACAAGGGTGTGCCACTAGGCCTGGCTTTTCATGTGGGTTCTTGGGGTTGGATGCAAAACCTCATGCTTACATGGCAAAAATGATCTCCTAGGCCCCATGTTGACTCTTTTCTAGGCCAGAATTCTTGGATAGTTTGCTATACAGTAGAGAGAAAGGGAGAGGCCACAGCCTCCTCATCTTGGTTTAGTCAACTCAGAAAAAAGAGAAAAATATCCTTTGGCATCCCTGTATTTAAACACCCAGGGAAGCAGTTTTATTGATTAGACTACTTGACAAGGATTTTCTCTTTGGGGTAGGAGAGGAAGACTAGGCAATGCTTCCTAAACCCTCCTTTCAAAGTCTCAACAACAAAACAAAGTTAGGCTCTAGCAAAAGTTCACTATAGAGAACCAATGAGTTTACTAGGCCTACAAGGGCATAGGTGAGAGGTTACATGCAGAAGTGTTGGTAACCCTAAATTAGCCATGATGGAAGATGTGCACCTACCATGGAAAATAGCTCCTCCATGCCTGTGTAGATTGAGCCCTTTTCTTGCTTTCTTCCCAGATTATATTTTCTACCCTTATCTGAGATCCCAAGCCATGTGCAATTAGAGTAAATAGCATACAGCTGGCTGTAAGGAGTAGCTAGATACTCAGGTGAGGCTTCAGTGGCCCTCTCTGCTCACTCCTATGAAAGAATGCCAAGTCTATTTGCCTACATGGGATGGTCTTTTACAGCAGGCACAGCTGGTTATATGAAGAAGGCAGTTGTACTGGCAGGATAGTTTCATACAGTCATATGTTCAACCATGGGCCAATCAGTTTAGCTAGATGATGGGAATCTTTTATTGGTGAAGCCTTATCAGTGTTTGGTGGTCTAGATGCACTGTAATGGCCAGGGCCACCAGCACAAGAGTGGAGCAAGGGCAATTCATCTCCTCAGAAGAGAGGAGAGATACTCCTAGACCAAAGTGACAGATGCCTGCTGTAGCCACCAAATCAGCACCATCTGCCCACACAGGGCACAGTTAGGAAGCCCCTGCCACAGAGAGGCTCTAAGGTGCTGTGTGGAAAGAGATGGTCTGATGAACTGCTTTTAAGTAATAAAAATCAATCTACAAAAGCCTGGATTGATAAAATAGCTCCTGGCCAGGCTGTCAATCTCTGCCTGTCTTCTTGGCCTCCACTCAGCAGTCCCTGTGGTGCATATCCTGGTAACAATTACCATTCTTTTTCCAGACACTGTATAAACAGCAACAATGTGGCTATGGCCTCTCTTGAGAGTCAGCATCCTTGAGTTCAGTGCCTCACTGCTCCCCTCTTCCTAAGAGAACATTCCAGCCCCATGAGGTCAGCAAGCAGGGCAGGGAGGGGGGCCTTCTGGTTCCTCCACCCCATTCCTTAGACACTGTAAGTCTTCCAGCCACTGGTGGTCTCAGAAATCTCTGCACATATTTGAATGATCACACTGGTGTGAGGCAAGAATCTACTCTTGTGAAATGGCTTATGGACCAGTGAAATTGAGACAATTGCAAATTCTCCCCTCCCTCTTTCCCCGAACCTTCCCCAGGGACCTGTGCTTGGGCAGCTGAAGAATTTAGCATTTGGTAGACCAGATCAGAGGACTAATGGATGCTCTGCCCACAGTGAGCACGGAATGAATAAACTTGACAAAAATAGAATGAGGCTCTGCACTTTTTATATTTTAATGTCATACTGGATCCATCCCCACTCCTTTAGGCATCATCCTTTGTTGTGTGAGTGAGAAAACTAAGGTTTCCCCGGTTTAGTAATACAGTGGAAACCTGCATCCAAACTCTGCCTGGAATCTAGAACTTCTTCCATCTGCCTCTATGACAATAGCAAACTAGTGACATGCTCAGCATTATTCCCACCTTTCTAAGAAGCCCAATGACCCAAGACATCATGTTATAAAGGCTGTTTACTGCTCAAATAACTCCAGGAGAGATGGAGGTTGAGTGTGAAAGGCAAAATATAGTCTGGACTCTGCTCATGCCGCCAGTGGGCCTAGAAAGAGCATTTTTCTAATCCTCATAGAGGACCCCTACCAGGCATCTAACATTAGCCCTACAAAATCCCAGTTAGGGCTTCAACATCCTGACAGCCTCCACTCATATACCCATTCTTTTCTTCCAGCATATTTCGCACTGGGACCTAATAAATCCCCAAACTTATTCCCACAACTCATCAACCATTTTCTTGCTGCAAGGGTCATATTCTTCTTGCTCCCTGTGTCTGGAATGTTATTCTCTTTGCAGCCACCTCTTCTACTTCTAACTCACAAAAAAACCACCTTTTATGTAAAATCCAACCTGAGAGCAAACCATTGTGCTGGCTAGTGTTTATATCAACTTGACATAAGCTGGGGTTATCTGGGAAGAGGTAATCTCAACTGAGAAGCAGACTGGCCTGTAATTGATGTTGGAGGACTTAGCTTACTGTGGGTGGTGTCTTGCCTGAGCAGGTAGTCTTGGAGTGTATAAAATACCAAGCTGAGGGAGCCATAGGAGCAAGCCAGTACACATTGCTCCTTCAGGGCTCTGTTGGGAGTTCCTGCCATGACTTTTCTTCATGACAGACTGTCAGCTGTAATATGAAATCAACTCTTTCTTCTGTAAGATGCTTTTGGTGATGGTCTTCATCACAGCAAAGAAATCAAACTAGGACAATGATGTGCTTCTGCAGCCCAGGGCTGCATCAAGGGATGAATCAAGAGTATCTCTAGTTCAAAACTAGCCTGGGCTGCATGTCATTCTGTCTCAGAGTAAAGAAAACTATAGTGCTACTGAGTCTTGTGGTATTTTTTTTTCTGAACATTCCTCATATTTAATTTTGAGTTTCATTTTTATTTTGATTTGGATGCCTTTCATCTCTTCCTCCTTTTCTTATCATCATCATCTTAGGTATATGAATGAATGCCTCCATGTAATTTGTTCAGGTGTGCATTCTTGGTTCCCAAGGAAGCCAGAACAGGGCATTAGACTTCTGGAACTGGAGTTACAGGAGGTTGTGGGCCGCCATATGTGTTCTGGGAGTCTAACTCTGGTCCTCTACAAGAGCAGCAAATAATCTTAACTGCCATCATCTTTCACTAGTGCTCATTATTATGTAAGTTTAAAACCAAAACTAAAACAAATGAACAAACAACAGCAATACAGGGTGGTGGCAGGCAAATCTCTGAGATGGAGGCCAGCCTGTTCTACAGAGCGAGTTCCAGGGCAGCCAGGGCTACACAGAGAAACCCTGTCTCAAAGCCAAAAAACAATAAAGAAATAACAAAAGCAATTATGATAAAAAACAACGTAAACAAAAGCAAATAAGAATTTAAATACATTCTGATGTTCCTCTAGGCAGCTTTTCACTGCAGCTAGGCTTCCTACCCTATTCTGCCAATAAGCATTCATTAGGAACGAGAGCCAGTGTTAAGTACTTCACAAGCTGTTATAGCTCTTTGCTTCCTTAATTCGCCATTTCAGAGGAAGAAACTGAGGCTTGAAAAGACAACATGTCACGGTGTGCAAGTAAACCAAGGTATTCCGACTTTACGACTGTCTCCTCTGACTAGGCTGACCTCTACACGTCATTAGGTGTGAAGCCACGCCACAGACTCATTTCTGCAAAGGAAAAAGAAGGCTTGCCGGTTCTTTTTGCTGTGATTGACAGACCATCCATCATCCACGCTGACCCCAGCGGCTCCTTGGGAAATAGGAACGCACACTGAGAGACCCCAAAGGTGGTAGGTGTGCCAAAGATAGAGGAACCTGTCTCAGACGGGCCAGCGTTCCCACTGTGCCTAGCCAGGCCCGCTTGTTTGTGCCTTTGCCTGCTCCCGAGCCCGCGCCGCCTGTCACCGTCACGTGGCCGCCCCTCCCCGCCCCACCCCTCGGTCTCTCGTGTGGCTCCGCCCTCCGCACCGGCCCTTCTTTCGGCCTCCTTCAGAGTCACAAGATCTCTCTGTGTGTCCAAATCTTCGCGATCCTTCCGCGTCCCCGCCCCCACATTAAAAATCTACTTCAGTTTTACTTTTCTAAACCAGTTTGTATCGTCGTAAGTGAGATAGCCTGTCCCATCTGGAGATGCAGATGACTTTGGTCATCTGTCATTAAGCTCGGGTCGTAAGAGGGACCCGGATAGGGACTCTTTTTCGCAGCGGAGGTCTCCGTCGTTTGAAGACGCTTCACGCCAGGGGGAGGTGCTGCGCGTCCAAGATGGCGGCGCCCTGTAGGCTGGAGGGACTGTGAGGTAAACAGCTGAGGGGGAGGAGACGGTGGGTGAGTACGGGGATGTTTCCCCCTCTTTTCCTTGTGGGCTTTTCGGGGCAGCTCTGGCAGCGTGACCTCAGGCTGCGGGGCGCTGCGGGGAGCATTGGCCGAGTCGGGGGTCCGGGGAAAGGGGTTCAGGGAGCGTCTCCCTCGCCCTCATCGCGCGCTGGCTCCGGCGGGGCTCGGTTAGGGCTGGCGGGGCCCCGGGAAGCTGAGGCGGTCCTGGGCCGTCCGAAGGGACAGACGGCTGCAGCTTCGGGCCTGTGGTGGGCCCGCGAACCCGCCTCCTTCGCTTGTTGCAGTGACAAGCTCCCGCGGGCGTGCGCGGCGCAGGTCAGAGACCCCGGGCCGAGCAGGGAGACCTGGGGGTGGGGCCGTGGCCCGAGACTCCACAGCAGCCGCTGGGGCAGAGGTGGAGAATGAATGAAGGCTGCCCGTGGGCTCCCGAGGCCGCCCAGCGCCCGCTCTCTCTATCTCGGTGAGAGTATGCACGGCCGGAGTGCCTGGCTCCGGGTGTACTTGTGGGTGTTTAATTGATGCTGGGAAGACAGTTACCTTCAAGTCGGCAGAGTTGCTCGTTAGAGACTTGCCCAGCCTCTTCTGGATGCTCATTCATTCATTTGAGGAACTGGAGAGCCCGCAGCCTGCAGTCCCAGACACCTTTGTGGAAATTCAAGCACTTTCTTTGTGTTGTGGGCTAAAAGAGTTTGGCTTTGTGCGTTTTGGATTTGGGATGGGAATGACCTGGGGGCTGGTGGGGGGGGGAATGCGGTCGTCGGTAACCAGCCAGCTAACATTTTAAGGGATAAGGGCTGCCTGTGTGCCTGGGCACTGTTGGAAGTGCTTTGCAGCCATCCTCTCTTTGCAGCTGGACAAAGGAGAAGCAATCTGCAGTCTTCCTAGATGGAGAAACTGAGGCCTGGAAAGATTGGGGTAATTTGTCCAAGGTCACACCCCGCCTAATCTGAGACAGCACTGAAACTGAGCTCCGACTAGTTCTATTTGCCTGTTATTTGATTTAGCTAATCATTTGGCCAAGGTGTGTGTGTGTGTGTGTGTGTGTGTGTGTGTGTGTGTGTGTGTGTGTGTGATTTTAAACAAGGGTGCATTTTGGATTGTATGTCCTATACTTTTGTTTCTAAAGCAGCTTGAATTTATTAGTCCAAATTAGATTACACAGTATTTTCATACTTTTCTATAAACTGATGACATTCACTGCAAAAAAAAAAAAAAATGCTGAAACCTTTGCTTTAAAAAAGTATAGAATTAACACTTCATTTTACATAGAGTAAGCTGTGAAAGTACTAAAATAGACTAATACTCTTCCAAGATATTTTGATTTATAACTTTATGATCAAGTTGGAGTCATCTGCATTCAAACAGGCTGGGAAAGTGCAGCGGTAAATTTCAGGAAGCATCATAGCCCAATCTTCTGGGAGCTTTTGATTTACTGAGCAATGCACCTGTGATTCTTAAGTTGAGCATTCCTGAATAATACTGGGATATGCAAATAGGAAAACCGATTTAGGGTTTTGTAAGGAAATGTCCCTATAACAGTCATAAATCGGGCAAACGAGGCTCCGTAGACTTCTCTAACCACCTGGTGTAAATGTAAGGGATATTTATAGAGGATGTAAACAGAAAATACCTTCTTACTAAAGTTAATATCTTCTCCAAAAACACCGTTACATCATGGGATGAGAAGGGCAGATGATGTAAGCTTTCTTTGTTTCATACATTTCTTGGTGTCATGAACACTTGGTATGTCCCTAAATTCCTAGTTAGAAGGAAGCAGGCTACCAGCTTTCTCCAATGTTTTCATTAAGTGGAAGTGTGTGCAGTCTTGTGCCTAGCTAGGTTAAGTGCAGAGTTGTCTGGTCCTCCTGCTGCTGTGGTGTGATGCTTTCTGTGTAGACTTGGTTTCCTTGTGAGGTAAAACTCAGCAGTATGATCAGGGCAGATCTAACACAAACCCAAATAATGTAATGTTTATGGGGAAACAGAATCGCAAGGGATCCCAAACTAGTTCTGAACCTCTGTGCACCCAAATACCTGGCACCATAGTAGGTACACTTTTGTATTCTGTCCTTGAGGATAAATACCCTGTCCATGTTTGTTTGTTTGGGAAGAAATCTGCTTCTGTGTGCTGCAGAAGTAGGTGATCATGGGCTGAAAGTATCATTTTGGCTATTTGCTTCTTTCAATTTATTATTTATTGCAGAGGCCTTTCTTAAACTACCTTATAGCCTATGTGAAGTTGTGGATGAATTTTGAGTTTTGTACACAGGTAGCTTGACCTGTAAGTTCTGTCTTTTTTCAAAGTTTTTGAAGTATCAGATATGTTTTTGAATTTCAGTGCCATGCTGAGCTAACATTAACTTCTTCCAGAACTGACTAGAGATCCTAAATGTCAGATTTCTGTGCCTGAAACTCTTCCTGTGCTTTAGTAAATATTCTAACCAATGTTAATTGGTCTAGACTATGTTCATAGTTTTATAATGACAAAGAAAAGTAGTGACTCTTGGGCCAGCTAGGAGGGTGAGCTTGTTTATCCTTTAAACAGTGATTTCCTGAATTTTCTTTTATAAATCTCCCTTTTAAAGACAAGCCTTTTTAAAAAACAAGTTTTGTTTTGTTTGAGACAGGGTTTCTCTGTATCCTTGGAAACTGTCCTGGAACTCACTCTGTAGACCAGGTTGGCCTAGAATTCACATAGATCTGCCTGCTTTTGCCTCCTGAGTGCTTGGATTAAAGGAGTGGACCACCACTGCCCGACCCATAAAGACATATATGGTCATATAAGTAACTACAAGCAAGAAAAAAAAAAAGTATATTAGGTAGTTGAGGGTTTTTTGTTATTGTTTTGCTCTTGTGTGTGTTTTAAAACATCAGTTGATAACTATATAATAGTGTGCATGCTGTGTCTTTGTGTGTGTGTGTGTATATACTCATTTAAATTACCCTGAGATTTCCTGTAAGGTAATTTGAGATTATTTTTTCTGTAGTTGCTAAACATTAGTAATTTAATGTCAATTTTAATGAGAAAGAATAAAAAGACACATATTTACCTACATATAAAAGATATGTGACCTTAGGACCCTGTCAGTTTTAATTTCTTATAGTTCCTCTTTGTGTGTGTGTGGGGGGGGGGTTATACAAGGAAATAGCACAAGTAACAGAATACATTTTATAGCTGAATGAGTTCAGATTGACATCTAATGAATAAAGTGCCTTAAATGCACAGCATTATCCCCAAACAAGGCATGATAGTTAGTGACTTGCAACTTACAGATCAAGATGTAAGTAAATAGGGCCATGGGGTCATGATGCTTTTGATCTTGTCTAATGCTGGTGATAGGCAGATAGAGCAGGGCTGGGTGGTGGTGCAGGTAAGGAAACTCTTGTGCTTGTGGTAGTTAAACTTGTGCTACATTGTGTCCCTCGCTGAGAATAGTAGCAAACTGAAAGTGTATCAGTTTTAAGTTACAGAAATTTATCAGTGTTTCAAATACCTGAGGTAGACTGGGCTGCCAAACACCAGTATTATTTTGTTTAGTGGTAACATTGTTATAAAAGTTTATGTCAATGTGGAAGCACAGCTCAGTATTTTCATGTCTGATTCCCCTTTACTATTCTTATACCCTTGAGGACAGGAAAGAATTCTGAGACTTGTTGAGTTGGATGATGATGTGTTTGATTGGCTTCAGAAACCAAGTATTTAATGTTGTATTGAGATAAACTGCCCAGTCTGATAATCTAAACTAATCCAAGGGTCAGTAGGGTCTTTATTTTTTATTTTTATGTATTTATATTTTGTCCCCTGACAAAATGAAATGTAGGCCAGTGTGGACAAGGCTTTCCTTGAGTTACTAATCCACTCCCCTGACTCCTCTCCCCCATTTCTGGGATTATTGGTATATACTGTTGTGTCTGGTTGGGTGGTGTTTTTTAAAACTTTTTTGGAGGGGGGCACTAGGGCAAAACTGTTCTTTTAAGGTCTGTAAAAATCAGTGGGCCAATGTTTCTTTTTCTACAGATGATACTCCGTAACCCCAAAATGCAAAAAGATAATGAGATTTTGGAAACAATGTTAGAGATTTTATGAATCTTGCTTAAAGCCCAACCAACCATTTTAGATAGCTTACTGCTCTTAAAAACACATTTGGAGGCTAGAGAATGACTAAGTGGTTAAAGGACCTGGGTTCAATTTCTGGAACCAATATGAGGGTTGACAATCATCTGTAACTCCAGGGGGAATCTGATACAGCCTCTGTCCTCTGCAGGTACCAGGCACACATGTGGTACACAGACATTTTTCAGGCAAAACACCTGAACATATTTTAAAAAAGAAAAAAAAAAAATCCCAGCAAAATCTACATACTTGGGCTTTATTAAAAACATTCTTTTTTTTTTTTTTTCTTGTAAGCTGGTAGGTCGGAAAGGCCAACATTTTTTTTTTTTTTCTTAATTTTATTGCATTATTGGGAGTTGAATGCAGGGACTTGGTACATGCTAGGCAAACACTTTATCAATTGTGCTACATTACTAGCCACATGTGTATGTACATGTGGAGGTCGGTGGACAGACAGTCTCTGGTGTCATCATCGGAGCACCATCTGCCTCCTTTGAGACAGGGTCTCTCACTAGTCTGGAATCTGCCAGTTAAGCTAGACTGGCTGGGCATTGAGCCCTAATAACATACAAGAAAGCATGTAATTTGGTGCTCACAGTTCCAGAGGGTAGCATACTTGAATATCATCGTGGCAAGTATGGCAGCAGGCAGGCAGGTAAGCATGGTGCTGGGGCAGTAGCTGAGCACTTACATCTAATCCATAAACATGTGGCAGGATGTGTGGGGAGGAAGAAAAAGGAGGAGAGAGAGAGAGGGAGAGAATATGACTGAGAGAGGACATGAGAAGAAGAGCTACCTGGAAATGGTGTAGGCTTTTGAAACCTCAAAGATTATCCTTCCCAAATAGTTCTGCCAGCTCGGGACCAAGTATTCAAATAAATGTGCCTGTGGGGGCCATTCTCATTCACACCATCACATTATGTAAGTTGTAGCTGCAGCCCTGAGGACTACCTTTTGAATGTGGACATACATGCTGTTTTATGCTAGAAACCCCTTTCTTTCTTTTCTCTCCTCACCTCACCTCTCTTCTTCCTCCTTCCCCCCCTCCCCCTCTCCCTCTCCTTAAACTTCTGTGTTGGAAGATTCTCTCTATGCTTCACTAGGAATTCAACCTTACTATAAAAAAAAAAAAATTCTGGTCATGGTGGTCACCTTTAATCCCAGCACTCAGGAGATAGGCAGGTGTATCTCTATGAGCTCTGGGCCAGCCTGGTCTACATAGAAAGTTCCAGACCAGCCAGGGCCACAAAGTGAGACCTTGACTCAAAAACAAACCAAAAAACCCAAATAGCTGGGCAGTGTGGTGGTGTACATCTTTAGTCCCAAGACTGGGGAGGCAGAAGATGGAGAATCTCTTTGAGTTCAAGACCAGCCTGGTCTACAGACAGCCAGGGCTACACAGAGAAACTGTGTCTCAAAACAAAACAAAAACAAAAAAGAAAGAAGCCAACCAACCAAACAAAAATTTATGGAGAATTTAGGCTTGTTGGACTTGGTATACAGACTTTTTCCCTTACTGTCTGTCTTCATCACTTTATTCTCCCTGAGTTGCCCACACCCCCAGATTTATTTTAATTTTCTTTGTCTTTTTTTTTTTTTTTTTTTGGAGACAGGGTTTCTTTGTAGCTTTGAAGCCTGTCCTGGAACTCACTCTGTATACCAGGCTGGCCTTGGACTCAGAGAGATTCACCTGCCTTTGCCTCCCAAGTGCACCACCACCACCTGACATCTCCCTCCATTTTTAAGAACATGCATTTCTAGTAAGTTTTTGGGTACTGTGGTGATGTGGGGACTATACTTGGAGAAGCACTGCCCTGTGCTGTCAAGCCCTGTGCTTTTCCCCTGGACTATTTCTTTTTGTTTGTTTGTTTGTTTTTGTTGTTGGCGACAGGTTCTTATTCTGTCTCATTGTCTAGCTTTCACTGATCTGGACTCATTTTGTGTCTAGGCTGGCCTTAAAATTTTCATAATCCTGCTTTAGCTTCCCTAGTGGTAGGATTGATTACGTGAATGAGCTTCCATACTCAGCTGCCCTGGAATGATCCTGTTTAGGGAAGCTCTATATAGGGACTTTTGAAATATAAAATATATAAAATATATATTTTATTATTTTTTGGTACAGTTTTGCTCTGCTGCATATACTGGCCCAGGCTTCACTGCAGACTGTCTCTGCCCCCAAGTGCCAGATCACAGGTGTGCATCACCATGCCCAACCAGGGTGCATTTTCTTGGTACATAATTTTTTGTTCATGCTAATAGTCAAAATAGAACCATTATCTGAGGGGGAAAAATGCCTTGTGGAACCTAGCTGTGGTCCTGTGAGCCTGTACCTAGAAGACTTGCCACCGTCAGAGTTGAGTGAGCTTAGTAACCTATGCATTGTCCATTGAGGACTCTTACGAACAGAAATTATAAGTGGACAGTTTGGCATATTGGAGCTCTCTTGTCCTGGCTTCTTTGACCTTGAGAGATTCTACAGCTGATAAGATTAAATCACACCTAAACCATGGGCTCTTTTACCCTTTCTTCTTTTTGTGCCCAGATAGAGAGAGTTAAATCAAATGTCTAATCTGTTGGGGTGCATTAGTGCTGAGAACATTTGGTTCAGTTGATGGGCCATTTCTCTTAAGTCACTTGTGGGTTCTGAGCTAGGACCAAATACTTATAGCAATGTAATATTTCTGCTCTGTCTCAACTATTAAGTGATGACACAGCAGTCTGTTTGTGCATGTGTCTATCTGAATTGCCTTTAGGTTTTTATAGATAAAACCTTGACCAGAGAAGACAGATTATAGTTAAGAGACACTCCCCCTCACTGATACTGGGAGTTGCACTTGTATATTATAGGCCAGTGTGTACAAAGCTCTCTGAGGTGACTTGACATGCAGTTATCTATCTTATCTGAGTCCCTGTCCTGACAGAGGTAATGAAAAGATGTATGCAGGTCCTGCTAATGACAGCTGTTGCTCTGGAGTTCATGTGTAATTCCAGGTACATAAACGATCTGGCAATATCTAAAGACTGAAATTATTAAGATAAATTGTGAAAACCAACCACCACTGTTCTTTCTGTTTACACCATGGTGACACACAAAGCCCTTGTCCTCCTCAAGCTACCTTTTTTTTTTTTTTTACCCAGAAGAATGCTTATAGAAATAAAATCACAGGGGAAGGGGTGGGTTAAGAGGAATGGTGGGAGTGGAAGGAAAGCAGGGAGGGGAGGCTGCAGTCAGGATGTAAATTAATTTTTTAAAAAGGAAAAAAAAGTTACAGGAGCATGACTTTTGGTTATCAAGGAAGGAAAACTCTAGATCTGGGGGCATTTTTCTTTTTTCCTCTTGTCTTTTGAAGAAGGAGGAGCTGATGCTGCTTTTACTTTCTGATGAATGTTTCCACCCTCACTTCCATAAAGGTTCATGCTTCAACTCTCCCTTTACTGACATGAATATTATGCCCAGTAGATCCCCTTCCCTGAGCAAGATTTAAAATATAAATGAGTAAGTGAATACTTAAAAATAGAATACTGGTAGATAGGCTTTAGTGTACCACAGAAAACTGATGCCAGTCCATTTCTTTATTGTTAAGCATAAGGATAAAGTAATGAAGTCTTAATGTTGAGACAAACCTGACTTGGATTCCTGTGGTGGTGTTCTGTCTAGAAAAGTGGCCTTGGCTGGGCAGGCCACAGGATCTCACCTTAGTGTATCCTAATTTTATCCTCACCTTAAGCACTTCTTTACAGGTAGAAGATCCAAGTGGGATTACTTTATAAGAGGAAGTCAGTGTGACTCACTCACTGATTAACAGGTGGTTTTAGGATTCTGAAGATGAGAGGCTCCTGCAGCAGCTCAGCTGTTACTTAGTGGAGTGGAAGCAGCTAGGTAGCATTTCTTGTTTGCAAGGTCTAGCCAGACCTTTTGTGGGGCCAGTGGCCAGCAGCACTGCCCACAGATTTGCAGTGGCTGCTGAAACAGTTGGCATGGCTCCGAGTGTATGCCACGTGGTGCTGTCACTAGGGCAGAGACTGTATTGGAGAGGTGTTCAGTCCTGTTGTTTGACTTTGACCCAGAACTTGTCCTCTACCCTATGTAAGTAGATGTCTGTAGTGTGGAGCCAGGATTGGCAGTCAGAGACTTCAGTGGTATGTAAGGGAACAGACTGAATGTTCAGCTTTTGTGTACTAGGTATCAGGATAGTTCTGGGTATCTCAAACACATGGCCCCTGTCCTCGTGGAGTTTACAATCTTCTAATCAGATAATCCCTAAACATGGGGTTAATGACCCATACATTCAAAAAATGTATTTTATTTTTATTTGTTTTGTGTGTATGTGTGTGGGCAGGCACACCACTGTTCATGTGTGGAGGTCAGAGGACAATTGGAAGAAGTTGGCTTTCTTATATCAACCATGTGGGTCTCTAGGGATCAAACTCAGGTTGTCAGGCTTGGCAGCAAGTGCCTATATCCTCTGAGTCTTCTGTTTCTGAAGGGCCCATGTTTTAAAAGCAAACTGGAACATATTCATATGTATACTTATTTGACATGGATAATGAATAGTGTGGACAGAAATAGGGTAGAGGGGAAGGAGAGTAGGGAAGCCACTGTTGAAATTTTATTCCTGTCATGTAGGATTAGATTTAGCTTATGCTGCTTAAAGGCAAAATCAGGCTTTGTGCATTTACCAGCCACTGTCCGTGGCAGCTGCGGGGGGCCAAATACTGAGTTGAGTGCAGCTGCTCCCCAGTGTGCCCAACATTTCTCATACTTAATGGGGTTTTAGGAACTGACCAGTACAGCTGCTGGTGGATCAGGAGCCTGGCCTGATATGGCATGGCAGTTGGAGGGAAAAGAAGGACTAGGAAGGATAAAGAATTAGCTGAGGAGAAGACAGTGGTTTTTAGGTTATGTGGCTGGATATGCCTGATGCCTTCTTGACTGAAGAATTTAAATTCTCTGAAGGCAACATAGCAGGACTGGGAGGGAGTACAGCCTATGAGATGACAATGATACAGGCCCTCTAAGGTTTTTGTGCTTGTTTGCTGACCTCACTACACCAGCCACTCTTCTGAGGTCCTCTTTGGAGCTCTGTGTGAGTGTTCAGGTTGAGGACATTCTCGCTTTCCCCTGAATATAACACAAGGCAAGACATTAGTGACTTAGTAACAGCCCAGGGTTACAGAGCCAGTAAGTAGATGAACTAATGTTTCAATTGGGAGCATATTCTAGAGCCACACTGCCCTCTTGCTGATAGTGCAGAGGAGAGGAGGCTGTGCTTCCAGAGCTCATTGCAGTGGGAAGCAGGTGACTACCTGCTGAGGATGGTGGGGCAGAGTTGTACTAGACCAATTCAAACTCCCTTCTCATCCGGTCTCAGGGTTTCCTTCCTTGTTGGGTTATTATACATACATATGTATGTGTGTTTTTTTTTTTTTTAATCTAGTGACCATGAAAGACACCAGGCTGACAGCACTGGAAACTGATGTACCAACTGTCCCCAGAACAGGTAAGGTGCACATTTAGTCTAGTGACTGGGGTGGATAGAAGGGAATGTCTCACCTTGCCCTTGGGTGCCCCGCATGCAGTTGCTTTTTTGTCTGTGGGTTTGAGTGTTAATGTCTTAGCTCCCTGCCAAGCACTGGAGCATCTATGATCTGAAGTAGTCAAACACATCACCAGTGACCTCTTGCTGTTTGATGCCAGGTATTAAGTGCATTATACACACTGCTAGTTTTCTTTTTTCACAACAACACTTGATATATTTCTATTCTACAGGAGAAGAATTGGCCTCAAAAATGGGTCGTCCATGAAAATCAGTTCTGTGAGTAGCAAATTCTAGTTTTAGCCACTCATTTTAAATTGAAGTCTAAATAAAACAAGTCATTTAACCAGTGAGAGGTTTTTTTTGTTTTGTTTTATTCCCCCCTTCCCTTGTCTGGGCCTCAGAAATCTACTTTGGATTCTATAAACAAACTGGATGCTATGTATAGGCCATAGCCTGTATCCTGTTGTGCAGTAGGGCCTGGGCCTTGGCAGGTGATTCTGACATGCATTGTGGACTGACACCTCATGAACTTTAGTTCTTGTATTTGTTTCTGTTCATGGTCTTAAGTCAGTTTTTTTGGATCAATTATTTCCTTGGTGGTTTTCAGGAATTGATATAGTCTCGAAGTCCTCGAATGTACCCTTTATAGTTAGTGAGGTTCTGACACTTGTGCAATTTAGTCTTAGTGACTTAACTGACTATTGAGCTACAATCTTTATTAGCAAAAGTGAAATATTAGTTGCTGTCATAAATATCTGACAAAAACAACTGGAGGAAGGGGAAGGGTTGATCACGGTTTGAGGCTGTCATCCTTCATGACAGGGAAGTAAAGGTGGCAGGAGCTTGAGGCAGCTAGTCACACTCCATCTACACTTAAGAAGCAGGGAGTGGTGAATGCTGGTGCATGCTCATTTTCTCATTTTTATCTAGTCTGGGGCCTCAGCCCACACAGTGGTGCCACCCACACACAGGGTAGGTCCTCTGTTCTGTTAAACCTTTATAGTAGCATCCTCATAGGGTGTGTTTCCTTAGTGATTCTTAATCTCAAGTTGACAATGAAGATTAGCCATTGCAGGGTACCAGTTGTCATGATTGTGTTCTGTGCAGAAGTCAGAGAAGGTTGGAAAACATTTGTTTTGCTGTCTTTATATGTATACTGCTAATGTGACTCATTTCACGGTCAGTGGGAGCTAAGCCTGTCACTGCCTTTGTCATGAGGATCATGCAGTATAGTCAGATCTCACAAACAGGGATTTAGTATGGGTGAGAGATGGCATTATATACTTAGAAAGTAGATGTGTTGTTCTCTCAAGAATGAGAGAGCTTTCTGAGTTTGACTCTAGGCTCTTGGTTTCTTCATGTGTTCTCCATACTGTCCCTTCTTGCCTTCTCATGGTGTAGTCCAGACTGACCTCCAGACTTGTCTCAGTCACCAGAGTTCTGGGATTTCAGGTGTTTGTCAACATGCCTGGCCACATTGCCCTCTCTTAGAATTTCACTGAATATGAACTTAGAGGGTTAAGTGTTGAGATCAGAGACAGCTAAGTGGAGTTTCACTGTTATTAAGTCTCAAATTTTATTAAGCATTTTTCATTACTACAATTTCATTTCTGTAGCAGTCAGATTTCAAAAGTGAAATTTTCATGTAGCAATGTTCCTTAGTGTACAGAGTACCAGATTGTCTTGTGGTCACTGTGTCCATTGTGTGTGTGGTACCCTCTGAGCAGGTTCACGAGTCTTGTCATCAGGGCACATTCAGGGATGTTTCCAGTAGGTGTTTGTCTAGGGACTCACAGCTTCGAAGGCCTCAGCTATCCTTCATTTTCAGCTCTAGAGAATGCAGCAACTCACAGTCCTTAGTCTAGCAGCTTTTCATTAATAGGCTCAAAACTCAAGAATATATTAAAATTTGGCTAGTGAATAAAAATATTTTGCTATTTTATTTTTTTTAATATGCTTTATTTTTCTTCATGCTTTTTATATACTTTGTTGTTGTTGTTGTTGTTGTTATTGTGTTGTTTTATTTGTGGTCCTGGGGACAGAACCCAGACCCTGACATGGTAGGCAGGCTTTCTACCAGTGAACTGTCCCAACCCTCTTTATGTCCTTTATGTTTTATTATTAGTGGTGATTATGGATTGTTTTTGTAATTTTTTTTATGTAAGATCGATTCTTTAATTCATCCCACAGGATGGAAAGCACTCTAACTATGATTTTCTTTTTGAAAGACTTTGGATTAAATGCAGTTTATACAGGTTATTTTGTTTGAAATAAAGTTCAAAAACATTCTGTGACATTTCAGGGACAGCTCTGAAGTTATAGTTGCTTGTCACTCAGCCTGATGGCCTGAATTTGATCCTGGGATCCTCATTGTGGAAGAGAAGAACCAACTCCTGAAAGTGGTTCTCTGACCTCCATATATGAGTGTGTCATGTGTGAGATACATACACATAGATAAGCAAGTAATTATTAGAAATAATAGAAAATAATTCTGTGAAATTATGATTGAGATAGAATTTAGTTTTTATGTGTTATTTGAATATTGTTATAAGTGGTTGGCTCAAAGAACATACACTATTATTTGTAAAGTTATCTAAATACACTGCTCTTTTAGTATTTGTATTTTTTATACAAATATATATTACTAATATGTCAAATGATTTAAATGTTCTTGATTAGGGCTGGGATGGAGTGATAGCCTGCTATGTGCAGGGCCTTGGACTAGATCTCCAGAACTGTTTTGAACATAAAAAAAATCACATATATCATTAACTCACTTTTATATTTTATAATTATACATATTGTACTTAAATTGGCAGAATTTTGACTTGTAATACATAGGCCTTAGGTTTAGTCTTGAATGTTTTATTTGAGTTAATATTCAGATGTGAACTGTTAAATAATCTAAATACACTTCTTGTCCATAACAGCAGTGTCTTGTAGCTAGGTGTGATATGAACCCTGTAGTGATGTTTTACACACCAGGAAAAGGATGCCAGAAATGCCACCCACTCACATAGTTGACTGTTCAGCTGTAGTCATTCGAAGACTGGCACTTTGGCACGTTACAAGTATGGAGACTGAAAGTCTGCTTTTCAGAATTTGCTTTCCCTGTTGAGACCAGGAGCTGTAGAGGGTCAGCTTAATTGATGGTTCCTCATGATTAGAATGTTTCTTTTATTCCAAGTAGTACCAACAACCTCTTGCTCTTTTAAATCAAGTGGTCAAGGGAGGCTGCTCAGACATGGTCCTCCAAACAGAGGACTGAAGGGTAGTTAGTAACAAGGGTGTGGGGGAGAGGGCTCTAGGAATGGAGAGAAGAGCAAGTGTGAAAGCCTGGCCAGCATGCAAGGAGACACATACTGGCTTGGAGTGAAGTGGTGGAATTGAGGGATAACTAACTGGCTCATGACATAGGGTGATGTAGGACACTGGAGAGTTTGCCTCTGATTCTCCAGGGGAAGGTATTGGCTGATTTTTAAGTGGGAGAGCCATTCTGATTTCCATATTTCAAAGTTTCTGTATTCGGCAGGCAGAGTGAGGGAGGTTACTTGCTCTCTTGTCTCTAAGAGGAAGATGATGGGGGTTATTCTTGGGGGTGTGATAAGGGGGATACATAGCAAAATGAAGAAGTTTGCAGATGGGTACATGTTGGGTTGGGGGGAGGGTTGGGGAGCCAGGGATTCATCCAGCATTTTCCTCTTTTAGATCCAGAAGACAAGCAGAGCAATAGGTTTGAGAATTAGGAGGAAGCTTCGAAGGTTATAACTCCTTTATATGAGCAGCACTCTCTGTTTGCTACTGTGGCATTCAGCCACCAAGATAAATACTAAAAAGAAATGTTGCTTAGCCCTATGGGATGCAGAAATTGTTCCTTGGGTTCTTCTTTTTGAAATCTCCAGAATGTTCTTTCTGTTGTATGTTACTTCTGTAGCTGCGCCAGGATGAGTTACTGTGTCTGTGGTGCTGGATTTCTAGAGGCTAAGGGGAGTCTAACAGGCATTCAAGTGGAGGCGTTCCCCTCTCCCTCTGCACATACACTGAGCCCTGTCTGTTTCTTGGATGGTACACAGAAGTTTTCATCACACTAACCATGTCTGTCTTAGCACTTTATACTTGTATTCCCTAAGCCTAAGTTAATGTTCCTGTCCAGGGCCTGATTATAAAGCTTGTGATTTAGCTCTCTTGAGCGCTTTCTAGAGTGTCTAAAGTGCTTGAACTGGGGTTACTGATGGAGGATCTCACACACAGCCCAAGATTTATATTTTTCCTAGGGACTGAAAGTTAGATATTTTTTTAAAAAAAATATATTTTGGAGCCACAGAGAAAAAAAAAAATGTTGCCCAAAATAACTCTGATGTGTTTTTAGACTAAAACTTCATCTTTGCTTTCTGTAAATCTTTTGAAAAGAGAAGACTCCAAAAACCAATGTTCACCTAAATTTCATTTACAGTTTGAAAACAAGCTAAGTAACCTGAACCTGTTGTTCTGACAATGCCTGGAGGTAGGGTGGACACCATCTTGGTTTGCCACTGCATTCTGTCCTGCCTGCTTTTGGAGAACTAGCCCGGCATTACTGTCTTCTGAATACACAGAAGACAGAATCTTGATAATCATACAGGAGATAGAATAAAACCAAACTTGGAACAGAATATTTGAAATTTGTGAATTACATTCTTCATCACTAGCTGGAAGAATCTTTTGTGGCCTACAGGAAATAAGTGCAGGGATTAACCAGGTAAATGTACTCCTCTGAAACTGTCGTAAAGGTGTTGGCCTAAAGCTGTCTCTGTACTTGTTGTGATGGACTTCTAGTCCGTGAGGAGTTTATAGACCTTAGTTAGCTATGTGTTCCGCACCACACCTCATCCTGTCACTGAGCAAAAATGGCTGTGGTAGTATAATTTTATTGATGAGCTTAATTTAATTCAATTTTTAAGATGATAACGTTTATTCCTATTTTTTAGTTTTAAGCTTTTAAAAAAAAGGTTAACTTATTTTATGTGTATAAGTGTGTGCCTGTGAGTATGTATGTAGATCAGTTTTGTGCAGGTGCCTGCAGAGGCTTGAAGAGGACCTTGAATTCCCAGGAGCTGGATGCTAGGAACTGAACCTGGGTCTTCTGCAAGAGCAACAATTCTATTAACCATTGACATACATATATACATATATACATATATATGGTTTCACACCTTGTAAGTTAAGTTTATAGCCATCCTCTTTCTTGTCTTCATTCCTAGGTGCTTGTTACAGGCATGAGCCACTATTCTGGCTTCAGTTCCTCCCTCCCTCCTCTCTTCCTCCCTCCCTCCCTCCAGTTGGATTTTCTTAAGTATGTTTCTTAAACAGACTTTTGTGTCATCTATTTAAGAACCCTGGAGTGTGACTGGGTGGTAGTAGCCAGTGCACACCTTTAGTCCCAGCACTTGGGGGGTGGGGTGGGGAGAGGTAGAGGCAGGTAGATCTGTGTGGTGTCAAGGCCAGCCTGGTCTACCAAGAGAGTTCCAGGACAGCCAGAGCTGTCACACAGAGAAACCCATAGCAAGTTCCTGGCTAGCCAGGGCTACACAGTGAGACTGTATCTTAAAAACAGACAAAAACAAACAAACAAACAAAAAAAAAATCAAAAAACACTTGGAACTGGATGAGGTGATGGGTTCCTGTAATCCTAGCAATGTGGAGTCCTAGGTGGAGGCTTGCTTGAGCCCAGGGCTTCCAGGACTAGCCCAAGCAATAAAGCAAGGCCTCGTCTGAAAAGGGGAGAAAACCCCCAGATGAATTGCCTAGAGTGTTATTAGAATGTGGATGCCTGGGCTTAAGTATTCCATGTAGTTCCCAAATCAAACCCAAGAACTGCTACTGTGGCTTCCTCAAGACCAGAAAGTAGGGATGTATTGGTTTATCCTTTTGGGGCATCCTTATTCTCATTTGTAAAATAAAGCTGAAGTATGTTTGCCCCTCAGATGCTATTGCAGTTAAAGTTACACATTTAGTCCAATGTCACATTTATAGATTTGGGGCTCCAGAGTTGGGGAGATCTGGGTTCAGATTTGTTCTTCTCTCCTGGTTTTGTCTCTTTCCCTCTCTGTGACCAAGAGCAAAGACTTGATCAGTTTCCCTCTCTTTATAGTGTAGATGCAAATGCCTGTCAGGTGGTAGTAGTATCAGGAGCATATACAATGATGTTTGTTGAAAATACACAATGCTTCTTATAAGTAGTAGTCAATCTGGTCACACATGTATGTAGTGATTTAAATGTAAAGATAAGGCAGTTGCTCCATTTCCATAGTTTGGCAGATGTGTCCTCATGGTCCCACTGTACAACCCCTTGCCTGTCACCAGTAGTTTTTGGATGTGCAATAGATGTGTCCAATGAGTGTATGCTAAATCCAAAATAATTCCTGGTTCATTCCAGCTGTTGGACTGGTAGTCTAACCAGCCTTCTAACTTCAGCCATTGATAGTGTCATGAAAAGAGTAGCATAGCATGTGCAGCTTTATCTGTGGAAACAGCTCATTTACTTTTTGAAGCAGTGTTAGCCAACACCCAGGTGGATACAGAAGCAGAGAAAATACTGAATTGCTGTGGTGACAATTCCACAAAGCTCCATTGACTTTCTACATTTGTACATGAAAGACCTCCCCTGTCTTTCATCAGCATAGGTTCTCTGGCTTATTTTCCTGCAGGTTTTTTGCTTATGTGGTATCAGGTAAGAGTCATTTGTCACACTGTCCTTATTCGCATTTTGCAGTCTGGTAGTGGCCCCAATGAAGAGCTGTCCAAGCCTTTAGCCTGGAGCCTGCACATCATAGTTGAGTGAGAGAATGGCCCAGCTAGCCAACATTGGGGAGCTACTCTCCATGTTGGACTCTCCCACATTGGGTGTGCGGGATGACGTGACAACCATCTTCAAGGACTCCCTCAATTCTGGTAAGTAGAGAATTGTCCTCACAAGAAGAGCTTGACCTGGAGCTGAGTGTGTTGGGGCTTGGAGGCAAATAACTCTTTATCTTCAGAGGATGTGTTTAGAAAGTTGAGTCTTTTTTTTTTTTTTTTTTTTTTTTGGTGAGGCCTTTTTTCACTATTCTAAACTAGCCTGGAACTTGTGACCCTCCTGCCTTGGTCTTCCAAATGCTGCAACTTCAGGCACTTCCTCCACATATGTCTTTTAATTTTCTAGGCCAGAGAGAGTATCCATTGGTAGATTCATACTACATGGCAGTGTTCAGGTATATACATACTGACATGACATGGATACCATGTAACAAGCTCATGAACTCACACCTTCAGGTTCTGCCATTTTTTCTTTAAAAAAAAGTATTTGTGAGTATAATATATGTGCATGTATGTGTGTGTTTGTGTGTGTGTACATGAGTATTTTTGTGAGTGTGTGTACTTGTGTGTGTGCATTTAAACATGCCTGTTTGAATTTATGTGTACTGCATGTGTATAGGTACTCCTGAAGGTCAGAAGATGGTATACAATTCCCTGGAACTAGAGCTATAGGTGGTTGTGAGCCACCATATATGGGTGCTGGGAACTGAATTCAAGGTTCTTTTTAGAGCAGAAAGCACTCTTAACTGCTGAGTCATTTCTCCAGTCATTTATTTACTTATGTGTTTGTTTATTTTGGTGTGTGTGTGTGTGTTCGAGTGTGTATGCACTTGCATAAGCTTATTGCAGAGACCAGAGGAAAACATTTGAGTGTTTCAGTCTCCTATATAACTCCTATATAACTCTTTGACTTATTCCCTTACAACAAAGACTCTCACTGAATCTGGAGCTAGGTTGGTGGCCAGTAAGCCTGCTTTTTATCTTCCTGTCAGCCTCCTGGGGCTACAGGTATTCATGACCATGCCCACCTTTTTATGTATGTCCTGGGGATTTGAACTAAGATCCCCATCCTTGTGCCACAAGCACTGTACCCACTGAGCCATGTAGCTATGATAGCATTTTGTATGCTTTTGTGACTGTTAAGGCCAATAAGCTTGAAATTAAAAAGGCAAAAACAGTGCTTAATGACTTTGGATAGTGTAAAAGGACATTTTCTGGCTTTTATGATAATTATTAAGGGAAAAGAAAGTCTGATGAATTGTCCTTTTTGTTTAGAACGTGGGCCTATGCTTGTAAACACCTTGGTGGATTATTACCTGGAAACCAATTCTCAGCCGGTATTGCACATCCTGACCACCTTGCAAGAGCCACATGATAAGGTAACTGCTGGGATGGAATCACAGGCTACTGTGAATTCTCAGTAGAGAAGGTCCATAGCAGTTTGTCCACAGCTTATCTTCAAAACTGGTACAGATCTTGCTCTTCAAAGAAATATTGTAGTTCCAGTACTGTAGTATATTAATGGCAATTGAAATAAAGATTTTTTTTAAAGATTTATTTATTATGTATACAGTATTCTGCCTGTGTATATGCCTGCACACCAGAAAAGGGCATCAGATCTCATTACAAATGGTTGTAAGGTACCATGTGGTTGCTGGGAATTGAACTCAAGAACCTCTGGAAGATCAGCCAGTGCTCTTAACCTTTGAGCCATCTCTCCAGCCCCTGGAATAAAGATCTTTAAATTTGTGTTTTGAGTAGGTTTTTTGAACATACCAATAAGGGAAAATCCCTGAGTCTGCATTTGGAGGTGAGGTTGCCTGCTTTTACAATGCTTATTATGATCTTCTTTACTCCAGGCCAGATTGCAATAGCACAGTGGCTTGATTTACATTTAAGGCTAGAGCATGGATGCTTGGCTGTCACAGTAGTAAGGGTCCATGCTTGGCTGTCACAGTAGTAAGGGTCTTCCACAACCTGCCGTGGGTTTGCAACCTAGGATTGTGTGTAAAGATGGAGAGAAGCTGTCTTGTCTCTCTTTGTAAACCTATGTAAGAGATCCTTATAAATTGCATCTGGCTGTTCTCTCCGGTCAAATGAAGAAAACTTTGTTCACTAATGTGGTTTTGAAAATCTCGGATTGGTTTTATTAGTCTTTTGATTGTAGCCTTAGTCTTGACAGGCTAAGCTGTATCTTCAGCCCATGGGCTTATTAAATCTGTATTAGAGGGAAAACTTGAGTGCTTGGAGTTTATCATTACTACTGCTTGTAATTTTGTTAACTTCATATACTTACAAGAAAATTTCTCTGGCTCTTTTACATTTTCAGCACCTCTTGGACAAAATTAATGAGTATGTAGGCAAAGCAGCTACCCGTTTATCCATTCTCTTGCTGCTGGGTCATGTTGTGAGGCTACAGCCATCTTGGAAGCATAAGCTCTCTCAAGCACCTCTTCTGCCTTCTTTATTGAAATGTCTCAAGGTAGGGTATTTGCAAGGTTTTGAAGGAAATACCTCCATAAACATTGTTTCTGAAAAGTTTCATAACAGCTTGCAGGAGTCAGGTCTCTGTTTCTACCATGTGGGTCTTAGGCATTGAATTCCAGTGCTCAGGCTTGTTGATAGGTGCCTTCACCCTCTGAGCCACCTCATCAGCCTTGGATCTATTTATTTATTTATTTTTTATGTGTATGTGTGAGTCCCATTATATGTGTGTGTGTATTAGAAGAATGCCTGGTGCCTGGTACCCTCGGAGGCCAAAAGAGGGAATAGGATCCCCTAGAAATGGAGTTAAAAATACAGGTTTGTGAGCCACCAAGCTGGTTCTGGGAAGTGAATGGTGATCCCTCTAGAAGAGCAGCTTGTGCTCTTAACCACTGAGCCATCTCTCTAGTTCCCCTGGTTTGGCTTTTTTTTTTTTTTTTTTTTTTTTTTTTTGAGAAGGGCCCTGCCATGTAGTCCTGGGTGATCTAGATCTCACTATGGAACCAGGCTGACTTTCAACTCATCACGGTCCTCCTGCCTTAGCCTCCCAGTTGTTAGAATTACTGGTGTATACCACCATGTTTGGCTTGTAGTAGTCCTTTAAAAAAAAATAGGGAATTGGGCTGGGGTGTGGCTTAGTGGTAGAGCTTTTGCCTAGCATGCAGAAGTCCCTGAGTTAAGTTCCTAGTACTAGTGAAAATGAGCTGTTATTTTAATCACTTGACAGAAAATTAATGTCTTAGAAGTAGTTGGATAGGCGAGAATAGTGGTGTCCTGTGTTCTGTGTTCTCTCTTACATTTTCATCCAGGTGGTGGATAGGGGATCTTGAGGCTTCAGGACTTGGGAGTGTCACGCTAAGTTAGCATATCTCTCAGATGAGGTGATGGAATGTGGGAAATGGTCCCCCACTATCACCATAATGGTGACAGGGCTTAGTGCTTCTGCTAAGTCTATTTCAGTGCTGTCCCTCAAATTCTTAGGGGTCAGGAAATGAGCACAAGAGGGGCTTGAGATCTGTGACCTCAGGATTTGGACCCTCATCCCAGTGCTGAACCTGATGACGCCCTTCCCTTCTGCAGATGGACACTGACGTTGTAGTCCTCACAACTGGTGTCTTGGTATTGATCACCATGCTACCAATGATCCCACAGTCAGGGAAGCAGCATCTTCTTGATTTCTTTGACATCTTCGGCCGTCTCTCGTCATGGTGCCTGAAGAAACCAGGTACAGCTCCAGTGTCCTCATCAAGCTCCACAAGGGAATGCTATCCTTACTGTTAGCAGCCAGGTGCTGCAGGGGAAGGAAGGATGTATGGTGTTCACTATACAGATGAAAAAAATGTGTGGGTGCACCCATTGCAGGACATATAGGAAGTGGGGCTGCTAAGACATTGTCCATATGTCATTGGTCTGGAAGGATTGTCGGAGAAACTGAGGGATAGGATGTACAACTTCCTGAATATCATTAGTAAAACTGGGTCACAGCTTCTACATTGGGTGCTGTACAATTGGGCTTACAAAATGCTTTTGTCCTTCTGTGCTGATTGTACAGCCACAGCTTCACAGCTTCAGTTGTGAGACCCTATTGGAGGAGGAGACAGACTCCAGTGTTCTCATTAGGGCATCAGTGTCAAGCTTATGGGATTTTCCCATATCACATCATATTGGCAGGCAGTATGGCTCCATCAGAGTGATTCAGAAGCTGTCAGTCTGTGAACTTCAGAATCTCTGGTAATCCTAGTATGAAATATTCAAATAGAAGATGAAATATGTATGGTCTGTGGGGGAGACTGCTGCAGTTTTCTGCAGAAGGGCCATTGAGCACAAACCTGGTCTGCCTGGCCTGCCAGCCTGGCCATATCTTCTTGGGAGAAAGGTACAGTTACTCCTATACAACTGGAGTTTCCATGGAGTCTTAGTAAAGCCAAATTAATAGAATTGTCCAGGCATTTTAAGCCAATTTCTGCATCGTAGTGTTTCCTCTTTAGTTATAAATCTGCACAACTAAGATCATATCTTGGTTTTAAAATCACATGCTCATTCTACAAACTCTCACATGGTCATTATGTGCCAAATTCTATGTGTGGTACTAGGGAAGAGGGAAAGGATAGCCCTCTTTTCAAGACACACATGCTGAATCAGGCAAGAAATGTCACCACAGTTTGTAGGGAGAGTGATACTGAGAGGAACCTCAGTGTTGGAAGAGTGTTTGAAGATGTTCTTGTGGGGGTGGCTGGAGAAGAGGAGGAAGGCAAAGATGAAAAATACCCTTCTGGGTCACATGAAGCAGATTGGAATTTAACCAGAGGATTCACTGGTGGATTTTAAATAAGGCCATATGGTATATCCAGATTTGCATCTGTCTTACTTTTGAAGCTCAGTAGGCAAGCTTCAGAGAAAAAGCCTGCTGGCATCCTCAAGTTCAAGTCTGTATAACTAACTGGTTTCTTTCCTTAGGCCATGTGACAGAAGTCTACCTTGTCCATCTCCATGCCAGTGTTTATGCCCTCTTTCATCGCCTTTATGGAATGTACCCTTGTAACTTTGTCTCCTTCCTGCGCTCGCACTACAGTATGAAGGAAAATGTGGAGACTTTTGAAGAAGTTGTCAAAGTGAGTTAAAAAACAACAGCTGCTCATCTATTCGATCCTTAGAGCTTTTTTAAGACAGGTACTTTTATAGCATTTGTATTATATGGCAAACAGGAAAATTTTGAGAAGAAATCCTTTATACTTCTGCTTCAAACTGGTGGCCACTATTTGTCTTTCTGATTCCCTAGTGAAGAGTTGCTATTCTGTGTATTTCATCTACATGGGAGTGTGCAGTGTGTGCTCACCCTATTTCAAGGTTCATCTGTGTTGTAACATGTATCAGTATTTCATCCTTTTTTGTTGTCAAAGAATGTTCCATCATGTGGATTTGCCACACAACTTCACACCTATAATTTGTCAACCCAAACTCTTCTAGCCAATGATGGAGCATGTGCGAATTCATCCGGAATTAGTGACTGGATCCAAGGACCATGAACTGGACCCTCGAAGGTACAGAAACTAAAGTAGTGACAGAACTTTTGAGTCTCTTAAGAGATTGAAAGTGTGATCTACAGATACCTGTGGGAATACAGATGTTTCACTTGCAGAATGGGCTGGAACTTTGCATCTAAAGCATACTTCTCACAGAGAGCTACTGACTCTGAGAGTAAAGCAGAGGTGGTGGCAGCCAGTGCCTGTCCCTAGAAGCCCAGGAAGGCTTGCTTTTTGGTAACTTGAGTGGGTTGGGAGATTAATTGGCTAGCTGAAAACTAGGAGGTTACAGAAAGGCCAGATTTGGAATAATTAGCCAACTTGGGTCCCTTTCTCCATGGGCATTGCCAGGTGCCTGACACCCCCATAGGCCCTGAAGAAATCCCCAGGTCTGTCTTGAGGAACTACTGAACCTGCTGAGTTGTATGAAGTACAGCTCCTGTCAGGCAGATTTATGATTCCCAGTGAGGGGATGAAAGCTTTTTGGGGGAAACTGAGCCACAGGTATCTATTTCTGGGCCTGATAGTCCTTACAAAGTCGTGCCTCTTTTGGTCTACCTCTGCCGTGCAGCCTCATTCAGCTTAAAGCAATGTATAATAGCACATCACCATATAGCAGCCCCAGCCTGTAAAACAGAACATCCCAGTGTTCTGCCTGAGAAGCCCTTCCTCCTTGCTCCCTGTCTACCTCAAAGGCAGCTCTGCCTTGCCTTTATGTTCATTGTTTTCTCTGTAGTTTACCACATATGTGGCTTGTTTGGGAGTTGATTGCTGTTAGATACAGGCTTGCAGAGGATGAGGGCAGGAGTATTGTCAACCTTGATGGGTCTGGCCTCACCTTTAAGAGTGCTTTCCAGGCAGTCACTGCACAATGTCAGGAGTGAGGCTGGGAACCATAGGCTTTCCCGTCTGTGCCTGGCAAAGCTTCTCATAAGGGCTGTTGTCAGATATGTTGCCTGGCTGCTCTAGCATTAGGGGTAGGTCTGCAAAGTCCTCCTGTGGGGTAAATCAAATGCTGATCTAGGGAGTGGGAGATTCCTCAGTATGTAGTGAAGGCCAGTCCTTCCTATACTCAAGTGGTGACATGAAAACCTGTTTTTCTTTCTGTTCTGTAGCCTACTTCCTGCAGGCTTCCTTGTCATTGATCTTTAGCCTTGTCACTTGAGCTATTCCCACTGTTACACTTTTTGTCTGAGTGTTCTCTTTAGTTTTCAGAGTATTTTCCTTTAGTCACCTAGCTTTATCTCATAGTGTCTTGTTTATTTTCCCTGCATAGTCAGTTTCTTCTAGAAAAGCCCCCCTCCCCTGATTTCATTCACTTATTTTGATTTGTTCTTTTTAAGTCTTTGAGGCTTTTGCAAAGTTTTAATGATTCTCCTGTGCTTGGGTGAGAAGACAAGAAAACTGCTTGTGAGGTTGGTCATTTTATCTAGAACATTCTTGTGTGGAGATACCAACACTGGGATTGTGCTCTTCTTTAGCTGGTCAGATTTTTAGAACATTCCTCTGATCTCCAGGCTGATGAGGATCTGGCTATTTCTGCAGAAGAGGTAGGTAAGGAGGGTTTGGTGGTTTGGATGTTCAGATCGTGTACTTTTCTCATAACTTTCTTGCCTAGGATGCATTTATGTCCCCACCTCTTCTGTTGAAGCTTTGTTCTGGACTGGCTTCATTTTCCTGGAGAGAATCCCCCTTGCCAGGGAATAACCAAAATTCCCAGTTAGGAACAGTGCTGCTGTCTGGGAACATAGAATTGGAAGGGATCTCAGATTCTCCATGCTTTTCCAAAAGTTTCTGCCCCAGCTGCTTCAGAGTAGCTGTCTCTAGTTTCTTGCTTTTCATTTTTCCAGTTCTAGAAGATCTGGATGGACCCCCTAAGGGTTGTGCAGTGTAAGCCAGCTGACTGGTGGCGTGAAGCTTTGATTTAGGGCTTTGCTTCTTCGATGGACATGCCAGCTACCACCTATCTACTGCTCTCCAGATTTAGACATTTGTGCGTTCTGTCTTCTTTTCTTCCTTGTGCTTTGTATTTGAAAATAGTTCTTTATTATAGATGGTGGAACTCCAGGAGATTGTACAATTGGGTGAAAATGTTCAGTCAACCATATTAACTTGGGGGCCTTCCCAGTCAGCAGCACATAGCACCTGGGTGCCCAGGGTTGAAAACCATCTGGTCTTGGAAGGAAGCTTTGTCTGCTGTGAGAGAGAAAGTGTGGTAAGGAAGGGGAGCCGGGAAGAGACATTGACAGTGAAGCCACAGAGCAAGCAGCTGTTCATGGTTGTGTGGGGGCAGGTGACACAGTAAAGGGCATTCTGACACAGTAAAGAGCTCTTGAAATTAAATCAAACCCCCAAATAAGCATGCTGGCAAAGGATCTGGAGGTGCAGCAGAGACTGGCTCATTTGAACAAAAGACAGGCAGATGACTGAGAACAGCTTTAGAATGATGGGCAGAGCCCAAAAGCTAATAAAAAATAAAAAAATAAAAAAATAAAAAACTTGAAGGAAAAGAGGACATTTTGATGAAGAACTTGTAAAAGAAATTTTCTAAAGTCAGAGCTTCTAGATTGAAGGAGTTTATCTAGTGCACAGATCTGTCAATTCAAAGGAATGCTACCAAGCCTCAAGTTTGTGAGATTTCAAAACACTAGAAGAATAAACCTCTCAGAAAATGGAAAGATAAAAACAGCCAGGCATTTAATAAGAACCAGAAGTCAGAATTGTGTTAGCTTCCCTACTTCTTCAAGAGGTCTTCAAGTTAGAGTTCTGTGGTGTGAGGCTCTTTTAGACAGGCCAGGACTTAGAGTTACCTCCCCTCTTCCCCCAACTGGCCAAGGGCGAATTCTACCAAAATGAGTCCAAGAAGGTTGGGATTTGGTCAAAGAGGCATCAGAACAGTGGGCCAAGGAATGGCATAGCTCCAGAAAGGAGCTAAGCGGGGTAAGGAGACTAACTAATCCTTGCATATTCTTCATTTCATTATGTGAGACAGGCCTCAATCCAGAGAGGCCAGGGTAGTTCAGTTAGTATTGGGCACATCAGGAACTGGGAGAAGGAAATGATGAGCCCCTCAGCTCTGCTGTGATTAAGACATTGTGGAAAAAAAAATGAAAATAGTTGACTTGACGAGGAGGGCAAGGATGGATAGCAGTGATCCTGGTCCTTAGAGCAAGTTTATAAATGAGAAGCATAGACTGTGCTTATTGGTTCTTAGAGAGTTGGGGAAACAATTCAGCTAGCATAGCTGGAGACAGCAGCCAGAGTAGTTGTCAAAGAGAACAATGTGATGCACCCTTAGCATGGTAATGACTTACTGCTTCTCCCCATGGAGTCCATTGGGCCTTGCCCTCTTAGTCTTCTATGGCCTTGGGGTTGTAGCTATAAGCTACCATATTTCAGTGGCTCTTAAATGTCATCAAATGTATATCACACATACATTTTATGTAGGTCTGAGAAGAGAGATACCAAATAAACAAGTGTGCAGCAGTTAAGATTGTAGTTTGCAATTTCAGAGACGTTAAAATACGAACAGTCTATTTAAGCCTGGTGTGGTGGTGTATACCTTTACTCCCAGCACTGGGGTGGCAGAGGCAGGTGAATATCTGAGTTTGAGGCCAGCCTGGTCTATAAAGTGAGTTCCAGGACAGCCAGTGCTACATAGAGAAACCCTGTCTCATAAAAACTAAATACAAGATTTTATTTTTTAAAAAAGTCTATTTAAGTTTCAAGGAAATAAATGCTGTTTTACTTGAACTAAAATAAAACATTTGGAGCCACTGAGATGGCTCAGTGGCTAAAGGAACGAAGTTACATGGCGGGAGGAGAGGCCCAACCCCCATAAGTTGTCCTCTAGTCTCTTCAGGTGCACTCTACTACGCATAAAAGGACTGTAAAAGTATTTAACTGGATTCTTCCCAGCATGTGCAATACTCTGAGTTCAATCCCCAGCACTACAAAAATGAGCAAGACATCTAATGTAATCCTCTTTTGTGGTTATTTACTTATTATTGTGTCTGTGTGTATACACATGCACATGCATACATGAACATGTGTGTGGAGGAGAGGACAGCTTATTGAAGTAATTTACTCCTGCAAATTTACTCCTGCTTGTATGTAGGTTCCAGGGTTTGAACTTGAGCAGTCAGAAGTAGCCTCTGTTGTCTACTTCCTGAATCATCTTGCCAGCTATGATCTTCCCTCCCTCCTTCCCACCCTCCCTCCCTTCCTTCCCTCCCTTCTTCCCTTCCTCCCTCCCTCCTTCCCTCCCTCCCTCCCTCCCTTCTTTCTTTCTTTTGGAATCTTATTTTCTTCACTAAAATTAATACTGTGCTTATGTGTCTTGATCCTTATTTAATTACTTCCTAGTCATGTTGAGGGTGTGGAAAGAGGACCCCCCCATCTCCTCCCACCCCATACACATGTCTGTAGCAGTCAGCACCTAAGGACAATGCTTGACATACTTGCCACTCAGGGAAGCTGCTTTGTTCTCTGGCCATGTGATGCACACCTTCTCCTTTGTATTTTATCACCACATTTTCAGCACGCGAGAATGAGCAGGCATTCCATAAGTATGTGTAGATCACATGTGTTGTTAGGGGAACCCACACCATACTCTTAGTGCTGTTGCCCTCCTCCCTGTAAATATGGACAGAGGACAGAGTCCTGTCAGAATGACCATGGACTTAGAGTCACAGATGGTAAAACTCTGTGTCTTAAGAGCAAGTTTATGGTCGGGCAGTATGCACAGTCTAAGTGTTCTGCTGGTTTGGAGTCATTTGTAGAACATTTGGCAGATCCAGAAGAGATAAAAGAAGAAACTGAGAGAGTGAATATTGTCTGTAAGTAATTCCAGGGTTTTGTGTTGCTGAAGATTAAACATAGACCTTGTAGATGTTGGACTAGCATCTATGATGGAGCTACAATCCAGCCTCTAGTTTGTATGTATGTGGTGGGGGTGGGAGGCATGTGTATGTGGAGATCAGAGGGCAACTTTTCAGAGGTCAGTTCTCTCTGTTTTGAGGCAGGGTCTCTGTTTCTGTCCCTGCAGTCCACTGGCATTGGAGCTTCTGGCTGATTCTTCTGTCTCTCTCTGCCATCTTGCTGTAGGACTGCTGGGATTACAGTTGAGTGCCACCACATCTGGCTTTTTATGTGGGCACCAGGGATCAAACTCAGGTCTGTCAGGATTACTTGAGGGGTAAATGCTTTTAATTGATGAGTTATTTCCCAGCCCCTCTAGTTGCTTGAATTTCGATACTTAATACTGTCAGTCTGTTTGTGGGCACTTATCAGAACAGCTTTGTAGTTGTTCTCATTTAATATACTCTACAGTGATGAGATGGCTTATTGGTTTTAAGGTGTCTGTTGCTAAGTCTACCTGTTCACTCCATAGGACTCACATGGTGGAAGGAAAGAACTGACTCCCACAAGCTGTCCTCCAATCTCCACATGTTTTGTGGTGGCATTCCCCTGCCCCTAAGAAAATAAATAAATGAAAAAGAAATCTTTTGAAAAGAAATTATATCCTAGTCAGGTGTATCCTATCATTTGGGATTGCCACAAATTTAAGGACAGCCTGAACTACAGAGTTAGTTACAGAGGAGCCAGGATCACAGAGTGAGACTTTGATTAAAAAAATAAGAAGAAGAAAAAATTAAAAAATACCCAAACTAAAATCATGAAAACATGATTTTTAAAATCAGCTTTAGTAATGTGTATGGTTTACATACATACAATAAACAAAGATTTTGTTAACAGTTGTGTCCACAGTAAAGGTTTTCATGGCCTGAGGCAGCCACTGGTCTGTTGAAAGCCTGCTACTCACAATGTTGTGCTGACCACTCTGCCTTATTCCTGTCAAAGCCATGTGTGGCTTAGCATTCTCTCCTGTGCTTCTATAGGATTAATTGAAGGTGTGTGGGCCTGAGGCTCACACTGCAGAACCTCTTTAATGTGCTTTTCGTGTTCTTTAGTCCTATTGGTTGCATGGGGTCCAGGAATATGTTAGAAGAATCTGTAGGCTTTGACTGGAGACTGCAGGTCAGCCCAGATGCTCAGTGCTTTCAGCTCCTCCCATCCTCAGATTACCTTTGTAATCCCTGAGAGCTGTCTGTGCAGTGTAAAAGGCTATTTTTATCTTTGGTGACATTTTTTCTTTCAAACTAGTTTCTATTAATTTCATGAAACCATTTTAACCAGGGGAGGTGGTTTGCTAGATGGATGGCTAGTTTTCATACTAATGCCATTCCTACTTGGGTTGGCATGGTTGTGTATCATGCTTTGCTAATCACAGTCCAGTAGCTGGCACTGAGTTGGCCCCTTGAGGATTTAACTGATGTGGTTAGGTGGATTAGTGTATGCCTTTCTTGACTTGTGTTGCCTTTTCTAGGTGGAAGACATTAGAAACTCATGATGTTGTAATAGAGTGTGCCAAAATCTCTCTGGACCCTACAGAAGCCTCGTATGAAGATGGCTATTCTGTGTCTCACCAGCTGTCTGCCTGCTTCCCTCACCGTTCAGCAGATGTCACTGCCAGCCCTTATGTGGACACACAGAATAGCTATGGTAAAAAGCAACTTTGGTCCTCTCTTTCTGTACCATCATCTCTGGAAAGCATTGTTTTTATTTTTGCTTTCAATTTCTTCCTAGAGTATTTCTTTTACTGCCTAGGGACTTCTCTTAGAATATTTTAAATTAGAACTTACTCTATTTTGTTTGAATTATCTTCTATCCTTTAAGCTTAACTATTCTCAGTCTCTCATCTGATAACATAGCAAATCCCCAGACTAGTCCTCAGCACATAACACAGTGAGGTCCAAGTGCTTACATCTGGTCCTGGTGTCATAAGAGACTCAACTTCCAATGGGGCCCCACAGACTGACGTAGTCTGAGAGTCTAGATTTATAGCAGATCTTGGCTGTAGCTGGGGTGGAGGCTGCACATTAGGCTGTCAGGCATGATGTACCTTTTAAATTATCCTGATGTATAACTAGAGTCAGACCTGCCTGAATTTTTTATCTCCAAAGGGTGTTTTTTAAAGCATTCTTTTTATTTTTTTTAAGATTTATTTATTATGTTTACAATGTTCTGTCTTGCATGTATGTCTGCACAACAGAAAAGGGCACCAGATCTCATTACAGATGGTTGTGAACCACCATGTGGTTGCTGGAAATTGAACTCAGGATGTGCTTTTAATCTCTGAGCCATCTCTCCAGCCCCACCAAAGGGTATTTAAAGAATCTTTAAAGCTGAATGTGGTGGTGCACATATTTAATCTCAACACTCAGAAGGCAGAGGCAGTAGATCTCTTGAGTTCAATGCCAGCCTGGTAACATAGCCAGTTCTAGAGTAGTCGGGGCTATACAGTGAAACCCTGTCTCAAAACAACCCACAAGAATCTTTAAATGTTAGTTTAATCTCAGAAATGCCCAAGCCTCTAGTGACTTTTTTTGTTTGTTTGTTAGTTTTTTGAGACAGAGTTTCTATGTGTCCTCCTGGTTGTCCTAGAACTCATTCTGTAGGCCAGGATGGCCTTGAACTCACAGAGATCTGCCTGCCTCTGCCTCCTGAGTGCTGGGATTAAAGTTGTGCGCCACCACCTGTCCAGCTGCCCCTAGTGATTTTAAATAGAGAATTGAGTATTTCAGATGGTCTAAAGGATTGTGGTTGTTTATCAGAATGACTCGGCACCCCATAGTCACCCCTACCTCCTTCCCTTTCATTTCAGGGGCCGCTACTTCCACCCCTTCCTCCACCTCTCGGCTGATGTTGTTTAATCCAGCTGGGCAGCTACCTCAGAGCCTGAGTTCCCCATCAACACGGCTGTTACCTGAGCCGCTGCAAGTATGGTGCCACTCAGTGTGCCTTCCCCTCCTCTGCCTCCTGATGAATTTGGGCCATTGGTCAAGATTTAGTATGTAATGGGGGAAATTGCACACTGTGAGTTTCAGGAGGGTCCTTTTAAGGGCCCATGATAGGAGCAGAGAAGGCCATTGTTGCTACATGGGCAACTTGGAGTTCAAACACTTGAAATGTAACTTGTCTCATAGTAAAGATTTTACAACAAGCAGCTTGTAGTTGAAAAAGGCTGCATCTAAACTGAACCGTTGCCTAGAAATCTTGTGCAGGACGCAGTGCTTACTTGCTGATACTGATGTTCCTTATTGATTCTAGCCTACTCTCTGGAGCCCATCTATGGTCTGTGGTATGACCACTCCTCCTACATCTCCTGGAAATGTCCCACCTGAGTTGTCACATTCCTCCAGTAAAGCCTTTAGCACCACTGGTATGTAGGTCTTAGTTCAACTTGATCATTGGTTTGGGCCTGTGTTTTGTAACAGTGGAACTCATAGTGACTTTGGGGGCATCTGGCAGTAATAAACTTGTTTTTTGAAACTTAAAGTTAGTTTCTGGGCTTTTCAGATTGAGTAAAGAGATAGACAGATAGATAGGTGCTGAGGCTGATCTGGATTCCAAAAATTAGCTGGACAGCTGTATTTATAGTGATAGCAGTGTTGAGGAAACAATGACCTGTCTGATATTTGGCTCAGCCTTTGTATGTACTGTCCTTGTCTCTGAGCAGGTGGAAAAGGAACTCCTTTGGGAACCCCAGCAACCTCTCCTCCTCCAGCCCTGCCCTGTCCGCCAGATGACTGTGTGCATGGGCCATCCTCCCAGGCCACAGCCACACCCTCTAGGAAGGTGAGTGATAGGCCAGAGATACCAGTGCACATCTCACCTTGTAAAGCCTAATTATGCCAAGTACCATCCTGACCCCAAATGGGATGGAATTGAATCATAATAATTGGAAATAGGTGTCATCAGTTCTCAAGGCATGATCTGCCAACCCCAGGACCGTGAAAGCCTTTCAGGCTTAGTGGATTAGGCCAACTTTTAATTCAACATTGACTGCTGTGTGCTCTTCCCATGGCATTGACAGTACAGACAGTAGTAAGATGCTGACCCCTTAGCACAGACCAAGTTAGAGACCAGACTCTCAAGGTATTATATCCCTCCTAGCATACTCTTTCAGCTTAGAAATAGGAGGTGGGGGCCATGTTCTACCCAAAAAAGCAAAAATGGTGAGTTTTCATTAAATCTGGGCCTTGAAATTATGTACATACCCTTTGGGAATGTAGCTGGGTATTGTGGCACACATTTAATCCAGGCTCCAGAGGCTGAGTCAGGAGGATTGTGAATTCAAGACCACTGTAGATGCAGTGAGACCTTATCTCAAAAGAACAAAAAAAAATGAACAAAATAAGAAATGTACTCATAACATGTTTTATTCCACACTGTAGCTGTTTGAGTTGGAACTGAACTAGCTGCTTTTTTCCCCCTATAGAATATGATTTATCTGAAAGACAAGTGACTGACAGATGGTTTATTCAGGCCTAAATATTTAGCAAGAAATTTATTTTTAGTTGATTTTTTTTTTTCAGATTCAGTACAGGCTAATGGATTTCATTATGATATTTTTATACTTATATGCTATATTGTCTTCTTCCCTTACCTGTGACAGTTTCTTAAATGATGAGCTAAGTCTGTCACTTCATGGTAAACAGCTGGCAATAATTGATGACCAATAATAAAATCTAACTTGCAAGTGAAAATAGATCATTAAATACCTTGTACCTAGGGCTTGGCATAGTGGTGCAAACCTTTAGCTACAGTACTTAGGAGGCAGAAGCAGGTGGCTCTCTGTGAGTTTCAGGCCAGCCTGGTCTATACAGCAGGCTCTAGGTTATCCAGTGTCTCCAAAAAAACAAATGAATAACTTGGCCAGGCATGGTGGCATACACCTTTAATTCCAGTAGAGGAAGGTCAGTCTCTGAGTTTGACATAAGCTCGGTTTACATAGTGAGTTAGTTCCAGGATAGCCAGGGCAACCCAGGGAAACACTTTCCAAAAACAAAACCTAAAATATTGTATTACTACCAGTGCTAATTGTGCAAGCACTGAAGATCTGAGCTCAGGTTCCAGTACCCATGTGTAAAAAAAAAAACAAAAACAAAAACAAAAAAAAAACCCAACAGGTGTTGCTGAGCAAGCTTATATCCCCAAGCCCTGCTGTTAGAGGTAGAAGGATCACTGGTGCTTGCTGGCTACCATCCCAGCTCAGTGAGAGGTCCTCAGTGAGAGTGATAATGCAGTCCTGTGGCTTCTGTGAGTACTGCACATGCATCAGTACACACAAAGAATAAATATACTGTATGAAGCATTTGTGTGGTTCCAGATTCTACATTGTAACTATGTTTAGAGACCATAAGATGAAATATATATTTTACTTTTGCATATCTATAAGGACCCCAATTTTCTTCATATGTTTCAGACAAAGTAACACACACAGAAAAAAATATCAAGAGCATCTGGCAAATTCAACTGGTTTTCATTAAAATTATTAAAAGAGATTATTAAAATGCAGCAATTATAAGTAACTATTGTCTTAGAAAATGTATTTTGTTTCTTAAAAGTATGCTATATTCATTAACATGACATTAGTGTATTCTTTTAAATTAATAGGCTTTCTTTAATTTCTGTTTGAATTTCAGATTAAACACTTTTGGTAAATTTAACCATGCAGATAGAAGCTCCTGATACTGATACACTCTAGCATGTGTTCAAGCACACACGCATAGATAGGTAGGTAGGTAGGTAGGTAGGTAGGTAGGTAGGTAGGTAGGTAGATAACTTATTTATGTGTATGAGTGTTTGTGTGCCTGGTGCCCACAGAAGCCAGAAGTCAGAAAAAGGCATCAGAGACTTACATAGAATTCAGGGAGTAGAGTTACAGATGGTTGTGAGCTGTCATGTGGGTTCTGGATATTGAACCTGGGTCCTCTGAAAGAAGAGGCACAAAGCCACCACCCCACCCCACCCCCCCAGCTTTAATTCTTAACATTTTTTTAAGATTTTAAAGGGATTCTGAAGTCAAGCAGTTCATTAGACTAAACTTTAAACTCCATTTACTGTGAGCTATGGAACATGCCCAGAATTCTCACTGTGTGCTTCTGTTTTCAGGAAGAAAGAGCAGATCCCTCGAGGCCTTGCCTGCAGAGACAGCAGTGTCATATAAATGACCGAGGACTAGGTAAACTTCCTGGGTAATGATGGACCTGGCTTATCTCTTTGCATTGAACTCTATAGTTTCAAAGCTAAGCTAGGTAGAAAAAGGGTGGTCTGGAGTAGCATTGATGCTGACTCCTAGAAACACACAATACCAGTATTAGAAAGTTATTAAGCTACTACCTGAAGTGTGTCTGCTTTGAGAAAGTCAAACTAGGTGATTTTATCTATTATTAGAGACATTGTGGCCTAAGAATTGTATTTTTTGAGGGGTTAGGTTTGGAACCTTTGTAAATGATGCATAAGTTCTCTGTCTTTTGTATGGTCCCAACTTTGTCTGCTCATCTGGAAGAACTGTTGTACATGTGTATGCAATGTGGCAGCTTTGTGCTTGCAGGGGTTCGCCAGTTTGACCTGAGCTGTCTCTGTCTCTCTGCAGAGGATCCACCTGCAAGCAAAGGTTCTGTTACTCTGGGGAATCTGTCGGATTTCTTAGGTGACCTGGCTTCTGAGGAAGATAGCATTGAGAAAGATAAGGAAGAAGGTAACATGTATGGGTTGCTACAAGGTGATGGGAGTGTCTGCTTTTGTCTCAGAACTGGCCTCTAGAGTTAAAATTCATGAGTTTGCTTGGTTTTCTGTGTTGGGGTGAATGTTCTAGCATGTACAAGGAAAGGATTGCCTGCTTTAATTCCCCTGTAGTACACACAAACCTGAGCCGTTTGCTTGGCTGAGTGTTTTACAGTGTTCCCTTTTTTCCCTACCCTCATTTCAGCTGCGATATCCAAAGAGCTTTCTGAGATCACCACTGCAGAGGCGGATCCTGTAGTTCCTCGAGGGGGCTTTGACTCTCCTTTCTACCGGGACAGTCTCTCTAGTTCTCAGCGGAAGACTCATTCAGCAGCCTCTGGGACTCAGGGCTCTAATGTGAACCCTGAGCCTTTGCACTCCTCCCTGGACAAGCATGGGCCTGACACACCAAAGCAAGCCTTTACTCCTATAGACCCACCGTCTGGCAGTGCTGATGCCAGTCCTGCTGGGGACAGGGATCGCCAGACTTCTCTGGAAACCAGTATCCTCACTCCCAGCCCTTGCAAAATTCCACCTCAGAGGGGAGTTAGCTTTGGAAGTGGGCAGCCTCCTCCATATGATCATCTCTTTGAGGTGGCCTTGCCAAAGACTGCCTGTCACTTTGTCAGCAAGAAGACTGAGGAGCTGTTGAAGAAAGTGAAAGGAAACCCTGAGGAAGACTGTGTGCCCTCTACCTCCCCAATGGAAGTACTGGACAGACTGATAGAACAGGGAGCAGATGCACACAGCAAGGAGCTGAGCAAGTAAGCACAGGGCCATATGAGCAGTGCAGGACTACCCCCTTCCACCTGTACCTGAGGCAGCTGCTTCTCATGTGTTTTCTTAGAAACCTATTCTGTTGCTTTTCCATGTCTAGAGCATGGGCACTTGTGTCTGGATGGTCTGTGAGATAGATGGTGTCCACTTGTAAATAACTCTTCAGTACAGGCCATTTTGTGCCTCTGTTCTGTATGGATGCTCCAGTGGGTGTTTGCACATTTGTTCTCTGAAAAGGAGATGTTATAAATGAGGTTATAATAGCTCAGGGTTAAGTAGCACTCATCTCAGTATGTCCTCCAGTTAGAGGTCTCTGTTTTCTCTTATGCTATTGGCGCAAGCTGAGGTTATCAGCATTCTGCACAGGTTCAGGTGGCTCGATGCTCTGCAGAGCACATGGGCTGCTTAAGAGCTGAAGCAGCTTTCAGTCTTTTTTTTTTTTTTTTTAAACCCTGTCAGAGGATTCCAGGGAAAGCAAAAGAATTACCTGGCAAAGTCGGGTTTAATCCTTTTGCCACTCATTCTTGGGAAATGTTAGTTTATTTTGTTTGTTTTGAGACATAGTCGCACTATGTAGCCCAAGCTAGTCTGGAATTCATGATCTTCCTACCATGGTCTCCCAAAGCTGAGATTACAAGGTTGTACCACCACACCTGGCTAGTTTCTGCCTTTCCTCTGTATAATATCCTAAGGTGGAATTTGACAAGAATTAGAACTCCACATATAAAATAAAATTGGGTGTTTTAGAGTCAGGTATATTTTATCTTAACACAGTGACAATAGCTTGTTCAAGGAGAAAGTGACTCTGTGTGTCATCATGAAGAGGGGAGGGAGTAGGGCTCTATGTTTTCCCCGCAAAGGGTAATTGGACATTAGATCCTATGGCACAGCCACTGAGCTAAGTAGCTAGGGCTGAGATTTAGTTATATACAGTGGGCTACCTACCCCTTCCCAGACACCAAGATGACTACAAGGATGTGAGCTAACCTTGCTACAGCAAAAAACTGCCCCCCTCCCCAGGATGTAGCTTGGTAGACTGCTTGCCTAGATTCACAAAGGTCTTCATTTGATCCCCAGCACCATATAAAATGGGGCATGGTGACCCTTGCCTACAGTCCTAGCACTTGGGAGATGAAGGCAGGAGGATCCAAAGTTCAATATCATCCTTAGCTAATTAGCAAGTTCAAAGCCAGCCTGGGATGCATGAGACTATCTCAAAACACCATCACCAACAACAAAAAGTCCAGATTCATGTTTTCTAGGTTAGATGAGTAACTTACTATAAAATTTTTTCCTAGGTTGTCCTTACCCAGCAAATCTGTTGACTGGACCCACTTTGGAGGTAAAGTTGTTGTTTCAGCACACACCCAGCCTGACTCATCCCTTTTCTGTCCCTGAAGGGTACCCACAGGAAAGGGCTCCCTTTATCTCCTGTTCCAGTTAGCTACCTGCTTGGCAAGAGGATCCCACGTGTTGCAGAATCAGTGTTTCATATTTTTAATGAGTGGCAAGTACTGTGGACTTGGGAGTTCAGTGAAAAAGTGAGCACCAGGCTTCCCTAGAAAAGATCTACTTGGTGGGAATGTGCTGGGAAGTCTCCTGGGAAGTATAGCAGTAAGGGGCTAGTGGCAGAGAGAAAGGAAACCTCCATGATCAGGTTTCCTGCTTCAGAAGCCCTCCTCTGGTACCACATTTGGATGCTTTAAAGGGAAGGCAAGTAGAAGATTCTTCCATCTATTAAGAATGGTGGTGCTTGGAACTCACACACTGATTGGGTGGTATCAGAATTGTGTGCACACCTGTGGAGACAGGGTCTCTCACTGGCCTAGAGCTTGTTAATGTACCAAGGCTTGCTGACAAGTGAACCCCCAAGGGTCTGCTTGTTTTTGCATCCCCAGTGTTAGGATTACAGGCACAAACTTCCATTCCTAACTCTTTTTTTCATGGGTTTTGCGTGACAAACAAGGCCCCCATGCTTGCACAGCAAGCACTTCATGGACCGAGCTGTCTTCCAAGACCCCAAGAATCATGTTTCTTAAGTGAGGCACATGGGAGACCCTTGATGGGATTGTGTGTAAAAGGCCTTTCTGCCACCTTCCCTCTGCTTTAAAATCAGGCTCTCCTCCCTCAGATGAGATCCGCACCCTCCGAGACCAGTTGCTTTTACTGCACAACCAGCTGCTGTATGAGCGGTTCAAGCGGCAGCAGCATGCCCTCAGGAACAGAAGGCTCCTGCGCAAGGTGATCAGAGCAGCAGCTCTGGAGGAGCACAATGCAGCAATGGTGAGCAGGCAGGGGTTATCCATCCACGTCATGGCTTATAGAGAACAGATGCTAAAGGCCAGCCTTTGTTAGTCCTGGCTTTGATCTAATGGCTGAGGGCAAGGCACTTAACCTAATGTAAAGGTGTGCTCAGCTGCATCTCAGAACTCCTGTTAAACTCTCAGGAACCATGAGAACAAGTGACTTTTTGTGACTACTTGGCATTGGCCAATGTGAAGGGCCAACGTTGTTTTATTTTTCCTGCTGATAAGCTGTTTCATGGCACAGAACTGAAGGTGTTTGATGTCATGGATATAAAGACCTGGACTTTGAATGGTGGATTTTACCTTAAGCTTTTTGGGGTTTTTGTTTGTTTTGATTTTCTTGGGAGAGTTGTTTGTTTGAGATAGGGTCTCCATATAGTCCTGAAACTGGAACTACCATGTAGACCAGGCTGGCCTCGAACTCACATACATCCTCCACCTGCCTCTGCCTCCTGAGTGCTGGGATTAAAGGCGTGTGCCACCACACCTGGCTTACCTTAAGCCTTTTGATGCTTCTTTACCCATTCTGTAGACAACAAATGATAATGACAGTCTGCATTGTACCCTGTGGTGTTAAATCCTACCAGCGAGCATTCACCCTGTGCCTGGTACACTGGGTCAGGGCCCAAAATTTTAGAGGACTAAAGCACTGCAAATTCAGGGTCTTCCTCAGCTAGAGGCTAGGACTTCAGCAAGTATCAGAGCATGGTGTTTAATGAAAGGTCCATGTGTTCAGGTGGAGTTTGGGAAACTTTGACAGTAGAGAGGCACCAGTCCCATAAATATATGATTAAAATTCCAGGGCAGTGTGACTGTCAATGTTGGTGATGTGTTAAGCTTGAATGTCAGTGCCTGTGTTGGGTAGCACCTAAAATGATGCTGTTTCTGCCTTTGCTAGAAAGATCAGTTGAAGTTACAGGAGAATGATATCCAGATGTGGAAACGGAGTCTGAGGAAAGAACGAGATCGATACACTGAGCTTCAGCAACAGCATGAAAGCATGGTTCCCCAGCTGCACAGCCAGATTCGACAACTGCAGCATGACCGGGAAGAATTCTACAACCAGAGCCAGGAGTTACAGGTATCAGCTGCTGTACCAGGCGGGTGACAGGAGAAAGCATGGCATCAGCTATGTCCTGTCACTTTACTCAGCTTACCTGAGATGAATACTTTGATGTCCAAAAGGACAAGTGTATTTCATGTTGGGTGGATCTTACCTGAGGACAGAAGTTTCCCAGGTTTCTTGTTTCATTGTTCCCTTAGTGTCCCCATCACCTTGGTGCCAAAAGAAACTGCTTAATGCTCTTCTAAGCCAATGGTTCTCAACCTGTGGGTCATGACCATCGGAAAATTCCTATTTTCAATGGTCTTAGGAACCACTCAGTAGCAAAATTACAGTTATGAATTAACAATGAAAATAAATTTATGGCTAGGGATTTCTAAGACCATCAGAAATACATGTTTCGACAGTCACAGGTTGGGAACTGCTGCTCTAAGTAGTTTCAAACACTCATTGAGATTGATTCCTCCTGACATAGTAACTGTTTGGAAACAACACACCTACATTTAAAATATTTTAAGCTTCACTTTTAAATAGGCATGATCGCTAAGGTCATGTGATAGTGTTTCAGCCTTGGAATCAATAGACATTTCCTTTCCTTTCCTTTAACATAAGCCACTAAAAGCCCAACTTTTCCAGGCATGTCTCTACCAATTAACCTGTAGTTCCCATGATGTCCCACAGATGTCACTGTGGTCCCTTCAAAGAGTGGAAAGTCTGGTCTACATTTCTTTACGGCTGCCTGGCCTGGGACATAGTGTGGGAGCTGTAAGGATCAGGTCTTTGGGGTTTTTTTTTCCTTTTCTTTTTTTTACCCTTATCTTAAGTAGTAAGAGACTTGGAATCTCCCCTTTAAAATGGAAAGTCCACTGCTGATGGACAAGAAAGCAGTCGAGGAATAGAGCGTCCCCAGCTCTGCCTGTGGCTGTGCCCATAGGTGCTCTTGTAACCTCACAGCCAGTTCTCTTTGGTAGACAAAGCTGGAGGACTGCAGGAACATGATTGCAGAACTGCGGGTGGAGCTGAAGAAGGCCAACAATAAGGTGTGCCACACTGAGCTGCTGCTCAGCCAGGTCTCTCAGAAGGTAAGACGAGACCGAGACCTCACCTGCTGACTCTTTCTTTGGGCCAGACAGATGTATTACTCGGATGTCTGTGTTGGTGCTCCAGCAGGGAACAATTCTACTCAGGAAACATTTGGCAACATCTGGAGACATTGGTGCTCCTGGCAGTGACTGGGCAGGGGCATGGGTACTGCCAAATCAGTGCATCCTCCAGTGAAGGCAGCCCAGAGCTCTTTAATATCTTATTTATGAAGTATAAACAGTTTGTTAAGGCTCCCCATAAGGATTCAGTGAAATCTGTGTATCATGTATCCAAAAATAGGTGAGTTCACTGGGGCTGTGTCCCATAGCTGTGTCTGCTCCAGTGTTCTTGGACTAGCTGCAGCGAGATATGTTCATGTGGCTTCTGTGCAGAGTATAATCCAAGAGTGTTTTTGCTGCTCTTGGGTGCTTTGTTCTCCACTAGCCCTAGACTCAGTGGGAAATGTTTATTCTACCTTGCATTGCATTGTGCTCCTCAGTAGCCACTGCCACTGTCTGTTGGCTAGTTTTGTCATGCTGAATTTGCATTCTCTCACTCCCATCTGGACAGCTCTCCAATAGTGAGTCGGTGCAGCAGCAGATGGAGTTCTTGAATAGACAGCTCCTCGTGCTCGGGGAGGTCAATGAGTTATACTTGGAGCAGCTGCAGAGCAAGCATCCTGATACCACCAAGGTATGTGTCCAGGGCACAGAGTCACAAAACTGTACTGCCTGGCCCCAGCCAGGCCCAGCCACACAGCACTGTCTAACCATCGGAAGGCATGAAGCATGCATGTGCTTTGCAGGGGGTCCAGGGTACATAATTAGGTACTACTCTCATTGCTATGACAAAACTCCTGAAAAAGAAACTGAAGCAAGGAAGGATTTATTGGCTCACAGTTTGAGGATCCAGAGTGGAAGACTTGGTGGTAGCAGTGTAAGGCATCTGGTCACATTGTGTCCACCGTCAAGAAGCAGAGAGAGATTGATCTCACTTTCTCCTTTTCATTCATCCTGGGATCCAGCCTATGGGATGGTACTGCTCATATTTAGGATTGGTCCTACCACTTAAGTTAACCGAATCTAGATTAGTCTCTTCCAGGTAGGTCCAGAGGTTTGTTTCCATGGTGATTCATATCCTATAAGTCACCAAGACTGGCCATCACACAGTGAAAGCATGAGATGTGACTGCTGCAGAGCAGGATGGAGGGGAAAGATGGGGTCAGCCAGCTCTGTCTAGCATACCTTCCAGGGCATAGGGTGTGTGCGGGCTGCTATGCCCCAGCACCCATGCTGCTTTGTTTCCTTTTCTTTGTGACTCTGGTCCTGCCGATATTGGTTCAGTCCTGGTGTCAGTTAGTATTTACTGAGACAGATGTCCATGTCACTGTATAGTCAATCTTGGGCAGGGTTCATAAAGGAGCTGAAGTGGAATTTCAAGATGTTCTGACACTGCTCCTCTATGAGTGCTTCTAGTATCATGGTTCAAGGCCCTATAAATGTCATCTGCGGTCTCTAAGTGGACAGTATTGTCTCAGAACTGATGAGACATAATTCTTGGTAGAGTTGCTTCTTAACTTCTCGGGTCTTCTCAGCCTCCAGTTCAGACTCTGGAGGATGTCAAAAGTGAAACTGTCTAGATTCCAACTCTGAATTACTCTGGAGGCTGAATAGTGTCAAGAGAATGTAGGAGCAGACCCAAGGACCCACCCTTAAAGAACTTGCTGAGCCATACTGGGTTTTTTTTTTTTGTTTGTTTGTTTGTTTGTTTGTTTTGTTTTTGAGATAGGGTCTGCCTATGTAGCCTTGGCTGCCCTGAAACTCTCATCATAAACCAAGCTAGCTTTGAACTCACAGAGATCCACTTATCTTTAGCTCCCATGTATGGCTGCTGCTAAAACAACGTTTTGATGCCTCTAGAGAGATGATGCAGAGCTGGACTGACTTCTTTTTGGACTCTTGAGACTGACAGCAGTCATGTTTCCTCTTGGAACAAGCTGTTTGACAGTTATGAATTTGGAAGCTCACTTGTTAGGTGGGATGTCTTTTGTTGTACATCTCAAAACAAAATGAATTAACTTCAGTTAACAATATAGTTTTATGGCTAGAACTGACAGAAGTTTCTGACACAGGTGATTTCCAAGTTGGTCAGGGTGACAGTTTTGGACCAGAAAGAGGAAGCCAGGCTCTTTTTACTCTTCCTGTTACTTAGCCTGTTAGCCTAGTCCTCCAGCTAGCCACACTGGTGTGCCAATTGACCCAAGTTCAGCCCTCACAGGCCAACTGCATGGTGTTCCCAGAAAGAGGCCAGTATCCCTTCCTACAGGTGGGTGTCTCTCAGTGAGAACAACCTTACTCACAAACCTCTGCATGCTTCCTACCCTATTTCCCTTTCTGTTAGGTTTGAGTGGTGCTGTGAGGTCCTTGAGTGGGCCACAAATTGCCCCTGGGTGGGGTTCTGGGTCACTGTTGTTCAGGCCCATGGAGGAGGTGCAGGAATCTAACAGGCTGTGAGGGCTACTGAGAAGCCCAGTGCTTGCTGTCTTAATTTCTTATGTGAGTATCCATAAGTAAGCACAGGTGTCACTGTTGCTGGGCAAGATTGGCTCTAGTTAGTTCCTCATAAAAAGATGGTGTGGTATTGGCCAGAATCCTCTCATATCCCGTAATTCTCTAGGTCTCATGCATATGCCTAATGTAAGGTAAACACTCTATAAGTAGCTGTTAAAATGTATCATTCAAGAATAATGACAAGAACCCAACATGGCATACTCAGTACACACAGTGAACATGTTAAATTTTGGCTGGTGGGGTCTGTAGATGTGGAGGGTGACTGCTGCCTCTGTTAACAGACATCAGCTTTGTTATTACCTGGAGCTGTTCAGCACAGCTGGAATGGCCATGTTTTCAGCTATTTCTGCCTTGTGCATTCTGGAAATGTCTGATTTACTAGTCAGCATTGAGGCTTGGTGCCTTCCAGAGAGGTCACCTCCTTGTAACTTAACAGTTTAGGATCTTCTTTGAAAATCCTATATAGTGGTTGGTGTGTGTGTGTGCATGCGTGTGAGTGTGCAAGCACACGCGTGCGTGTGTTAAATACATAGTAACAATGGCTAGGGAAGCCTCCTTTCCACCTTTTGGGGGCACACCAGGCTACACTTAGTATGGATTTGTCAATGCAGGCAGGTCACCTGCTTCACTTGGCTGACAAACTGTCAGGTATCAGCCTGAAAATGCTGCTTCTCCTGAGCAGACATACTCTCTTTATGTCACCATCTCAGCTGATAGGAGAAGCAGGAGAAGGGTAAAAAGAAGGCAATGGCTAGTGCCATTAACCTGTGCAAAGTGGCTTATTCCATGGATTGTGACAAGCATGATCCTGTATTGATGGTCTACTTTTGTGTCTTTTTACTGGTCCTGTATGCACCCTGAAAACAGTAAATATATGCTTTCTCTCTCAGAGCCCTGACCTAGTTCTAAGGGTACTTATGGTTCTTGGCTTTTGTGAACATGCTGTGATGACTGCTGTGCAACATGACTTTTCATGTTTCAGATGGTTTCCTTAGGGACAGACATCAAATATGCCCAGCCAGCCTACTTGCCAAGAAGTCATTCTCACTCAGTTGGGTCAGGACACTAAGTGCCTCTTGGTGTCAAGGGCACGTGTTATTGAGTTACATTGCACAATTGTCTGTAAGTACTGACTCCAGACCTTTTTATAGGAAGTAGAGATGATGAAAACTGCCTATCGGAAAGAACTAGAAAAGAACAGAAGTCACCTTCTCCAGCAGAACCAGAGGCTAGATGCCTCACAGAGGCGAGTATTGGAACTGGAATCTCTTCTGGCCAAGAAAGACCACCTTCTCCTAGAACAGAAGAAATACCTTGAGGATGTCAAGAGCCAGGCGAGGTGACTTACAGGAAATGTGGAGGTGGGGTAGTGGTGAGGCCCCTCCCATGTTCTGAACCAAGCCTGTCTTTTAGTGGACAGCTGCTGGCTGCAGAGAGCAGGTATGAGGCTCAGAGGAAGATAACCCGGGTGTTGGAACTGGAGATCCTAGACTTGTACGGCAGGTTGGAGAAAGATGGCTGCCTACGGAAACTAGAAGAAGACAAAGCAGAAACAGCAGAAGCAGCAGAAGAAAGGTAAGAGCGGCTACATCAGGGCTCTGTGGAAGGCTGTGCTCCAGGTGTCACAGCCAGCCAGGTAGTATGGCGGGCCTTCGGAGAGGCAGTGATAAACAGCTGAGCTGCTGTCCTCTGCTCAGTCCTTTTCAGAGAACCATCCAGTTGTCTCTTGGCCACACTCGGTTACCTGCATAACAGGTACAGACTGTCATCCAGCATAACCCCAGCTGTGACTTGGGCTCTATATGACACTCTTGCTTGCACTTACTGTTACAAACAGAGCAGGGGGAGCTGGAGGGATTACTTAGTGGTTAAAAGCATTGGCTGCTCTCACAAGAAGACCGTGGTTTGGTTCCCAGCACCTAGGTGAGTCACCTGTAACTCCAGTTCTAGGGAAAGCTGACATTGTCTTCTGGCCTCCTCAGGTATCAGGCACACACAAGGTGCATATACACACGCGCATACCCATAAAAATTTTAAAGAATGGGCAAGCCAGGTTCAGGGAGCAAGTATAATTTCACATTTCCTTAAAAGTGCTAGTTATCAACTGCATTCCCTCTGGGTCTTTCACAGGCTTGACTGTTGTAGTGATGGCTGCTCAGATTCCTTGGTAGCGCATAATGAAGAGGCTTCTGGCCACAACGGTGAGACCAGGACCACCAGGCCTAGTGGCACCCGGGCCAGCCGTGGAGGCAGAAGCACTGGAGGCAGCAGCAGCAGCAGCAGTGAGCTTTCTACTCCAGAGAAACCCCCGAGCCAGAGGCTCAGCAGCCGGTGGGAAACCACTGTGGGTGAGCCCTCCAGCAGCATCCCCACAACTGTTGGCTCACTTCCTAGTTCCAAAAGCTTCTTGGGCATGAAGGCCCGGGAGCTGTTCCGTAATAAGAGCGAGAGCCAGTGTGATGAGGACGGTGTGACCAGCAGTAGCCTTTCTGAGACCCTAAAGACAGAACTGGGCAGAGACTCAGGCATGGAAAACAAGACTCCCTTTAATCTAGAGGCTTCACACCCATCTTTCCCGAACTCGGACAGTGTGGGCCAGCTCCACATCATGGACTACAATGAGACTCAGCAAGAGCATAGCTGAGGGGGGTCTGTCAGTGTTAATTTGCGTCTTTGTCGGCACAGAACAGGAGGTGTGAATGCACGTTCTAGGCTTTTCTGTTTCCAGGGTCTGAGCGGCTGCTTGTGCAGTGGGAATGGGACAGAGGTCATTTTGACAGCTGGCGGAATGTGGGATGATGGTTTTGGGGTCTGGCATTGAGATGCTTCCCTTCACCCCACCCCAGCCTCTTTCATTTACCTAGCAGTATGTACTAATTGAGGGCCTATGTGTGTCCCTTGTAGCTTTATTTTCTTCCTTCCTCCCACCAAATGGTTGTGTCCTTTGAACCTGTGCAATATGAGGCCAAATTTCATCTTTGGGTCCAACACACCACTCTGCTTTCCTGAGGTGCAGATAGATGGGTGGCTCTTGGGTAGACCAGGCAGTTAGTGGCACTGCAGGTAAGTCCAGTTTTGTCCTTTCCAGGAGGATATAAGTTGATTGTCTTTAGAGGAGCCTTTTTCACTGCTTTTTGGTTCTGAAGTTCAGCATCTAAAGCCACAGATCTAGAGAAACTGGTTCATTCACCTCTGCCTTCTTTGGCAGCTCTGAAATGCTTCCTAGATGGTTCTGTGAGAATACCAGTTGTTTTGATAGTGTAGTTGTTGCTGTGGAGGCCATACTGCCTTACTCTCTGGAAAGCTCGTATCCCTCTCCCCCACTACCTCTTATTTATTTGGTATTTGCTTGAATGCTGGCACCATGCTGCCTGTGGGTGGGTGTGTAGGTGGTCATCCTGCAATCCGCAGACTGAGGGAGTGGTCACTAGGTGGGGCACGAAGGATGCTCATGCACATGTGGAAGTGTGCCACTGGCTGACCCTGTCCAGCTGAACCACAGTTCCACCTTTCAGCCTGTTCGCCTCCCTTTGTCCACATGCCCGATTAGCAGCTGCTTTGTAATTCTGCAGCAGACAAGGCTGGGAAGAGTCAGAATTTCCATAGAGTTTATGTGACATCATTCTCAGGCTGGGGGTGCCTCACCATAGTAGGTTCTAGCAGCTCTTTTACATCAACTTTGACTTTGTAGGAGAGATTCCCCCTGAAGCTTCATGTCAAACACTTCTGTTAGGAACGGCAGAGGGACTCAGAGTCTGGGAAGGTTAATGGAGGCTGGTGGCCTGTACCACAGTCCACCCTCATGCTCTTGTGACCAGTCAGAACAATGAGGTGGCAGAGAGCCCAAACTCAACCAATGCTCCTGAAATAAATGCTGGAAGTGTAAGAGTTGTTGCCTGATATTCTAGACCAGGCAAGGAGAGACTTGGGAAGGAGCCATGAGCTTGATTTTCTTGTTTCTGTTCTAGCTGATGTATAAAGAACGGAAGAGTTTAACTACAACAAAGGTAAAAACAAACTAATGGTACGAAATCTTACTGCATATGGAAGTTTCCAGCCTGAGGGTGAAAGTCCTAACCCTTAAGTAAGGTGAGCTTCCTTGTTACCATGGCAGTGCTGGCTGGAGATCTGTTAGGGCCATATCTCTGCTATAGCCAGCCCACAGGAAGACATACCACTAACCACTCTCAGACCAGCAGAGGCAGCCATTGCCCCATCACACTCAGTGATGCCACGCTTTTCCTTTAGCTCTGCCCAGTGCTAGAAAAGAGCAGATGAACAGATTGGGAGAAAGATCTTACAGTTAATGATAGACACTGCTCCTAAGAGCTGCTCCCCTCCAAGATGTGTGCCAGAGAAACAAGCCTTCTCTACATAAGAAAGAAAACTAGGAGACTACACAAGTGCTGAAGTTAGGGAGAGGAGGCAGTGACTTGGTACAACAGATTGAGGTCTAGGCTAGCACCTCCACAGATCATGCTTGGGCCCTCAGCACTTACCTCCAGCCTGGGTGTTCTGTACCCAATAACAGAACCTGAGCTTCCTGTGTGGTTTGAGTTCTAGAAGGCTGTTGAGGCTTGCTTCCTTCCTTTCTTCCTTTTTTCCTTCCTTCCTTCCTTCCTTCCTTCCTTCCTTCCTTCCTTCCTTCCTTCCTTCCTGCTAAGCTTGGGGGACTATGACCTGAAGTCATCTTGAAGGTGCCCAGCCTAAACATTGGCTCTTTTCAAAGGACTCCAGGCTCAGTGGGTGGAGGCTGCTTTCTGTTCAGAGAACAGTCAGGAGAGGAGCTTCTGGAAGGCAGCTGAAGCCTGGGCCAAGGCATTGGAGCAGTGGGTATCACGGGCAGCCTGGTATGTGTGAATGCTGGGGTTGAACCACTTGGAGTTTGTGTTGTGGTTGCCCTTGGGACCCAAGGAGACTGGAGGCTGCGTCTCCTGCAGTCTGGGACTGTCAGAAGCAGCACTACCATGCCACTGGAGTGGAGTAGCAGGGCAGTGCCAGGAGAGGAGCTAAGTAGTCATCTATCGCGTCCCTCCCTGAAGTCTTAAGACTTTGCTTTGGGAGCAAAAGCAACATGACCATAGACATGAGAAGACAGGCTCTAAGGTATCCCTGGAGCAGGCAGCACAGCTGCCAGGGGCAAATGCTGACCTTGGTAGCTTGGTTGATCCTTTCAGGAGGGAGTTTGTTCAATCTTCTGGACTGAGCTGCAGAAAGTTCCAATGGTGACATGGTTAGCAGGGAGTCACTTCTTCTTAGAAGGCAAACTCAAAGCCCAGGGAAAGTCCTGGAAGCCACATACGGTTAAAAAACAAAAAATTAACCTCCCCTCCCCAAGCTGCTGTGGCCAGTGGTCAGTGCTCCCTGGGTGGTAGTGGCACCACAAGCCACAGTGATAAGCCACAGACTTAGAGCCATTTGTGGCGTGTGTGGGCTCTAGTGCTCAGAGGAGAATGAGGAAATGATAGCAGTTGAATGGTCAAGGTTGAAAAGACCTCAGAGCTCAGGCTGACAGTAAGGGTAGAAATGGAAGCATGCGTAACAACAGTCTGCTGTGGTGAGACCAGCCAGCAGGCACCTACCGCCGACCACTTGAAGCCAGAAAGAACTGAGAAAAACAGAAGTACTGTGGGGAGGTGCTCGTTTTCCTGAGCAGTAAGGGTAGGAGATGCCATGGACAAGCTGGTGGAGGTGTGGGCGTTACACCAGCTCAGCTTGCACTGCAACACACATGGAGTCTGCCTCAACCAGAGGCCAGCAGTCCTGCACACTGTGACTCAGATGGCATCCTACTACTGCTGCACCTTCACCCCAAGGTCCATGCTGTAAATCCACTGCTGTGCACATTGGAAAACACATCCGGTGTGAGGATGTTTGTTTCCATGTATACATCCAGAGATCTGTGGCATGTGCCTCCATCCCCCCTCCCCTCCCACCTCCCTCCCCTTCTCCTCCCCCTCCCCAGTTTGTTGCAGAGTCACTGATTGCCTTGGGTTCAACCTGTCTGCGTAGGTAAAAATGGGAACTGGCCTCTGGGCTGCTGCTGTGACCCTTGTTCCCACTCAGTTTCCCTGTCTGAGTCCCTGGTGTGCCCAGGGGGGCAATGTTTCTGTTTCTGATACCACCCCAAGTTTTTAAATGAGGTGTAGAGAAGCAGCTTCAGCTACAAATGGAAACTGCACCCTGAACACTCTTGGTCTCAGAATGAAATTTAATGGGGGCCAAGAAGTGCCCTGCCCTTCCCAGAGCCCCAGTATTGTCTACTTCTGGATAGGTAGGCTGAGCCACTAGAGCTGGTCTTTCACTAGGCCAGTCCCTCTCCCTGCCCCACCTCACACAGTGTTGTATTAGAGGAGAGGTCATGATGGTGTTTGTTAGCTCTGTCAGATCAGAGGCAGACAGGCATTTTTGCACTAGGAAGATTCAGTGGTCACCCTTCATGAGACTGGACCACAAAACACATTATGGAGGTGCAGGTTTTGCTAAGACATAATTTAGTTTTATAATCAATCATGGATGAACCATATATGGATAACTTGGAGTTGGGGCAGGGGGTTCCCATCAGTGAAACAAATCTTTTTAGTTCAATGGAAGTCACCTCTTCTCAAAAGGTTTAAACTTTCCCACTAGGACCTTAAAAGCATGTCAAACAATCCGCATCAGATGCCATAATACAGGCTGCAAGAGAACATGGTACAGTCTCAGTGAATGGAATCAAAGGTTTGCTGTCTTTAGAATGTTCTGAAATGTCAAGGCAATTGCTTGTGTTTAACTGTGAACAAATAAAGATTTATTGTTTTGCACTCTGCAGTGTTGAGATGGAGTGACTTTATGCTGGCCTTACGGGTGAAATGAGATGGTCCAGAGCCACTGCAGTCTCTCTGGAGTAGTTTCCTGGATGGCGGTATGGAACAGGGGTGACCTTGGACTGGGGAACAGATAATTCAGCCACCTTAAACTCGATGTCTCTGTGTGAAGAGCAGTGTGTGGAAAAGGGCTCCGACAGCTTGGCCACCCAAGTCTGCATCTCAGGTCCTCCTGATGGAACCCAGCAGAAGTTGGTCCTGGCCTGGCCAGCTATGTTTATGATATGCCAAGGGATAGTGTAGCCATCATCATCACCTGTACCAGTGCCCCCCCCTCTGCCCTTTAGGTATTGTTCAGGGGTGGGAGATAACCTTACAGAATTTCAAGATTCTAACCCTACCTAGTCAGTCCCAGTGTGCGAGCTGCCCAGTGTTGCCTCAACCAGGACGTGTGGAATTACTGTACTGCCCATCTTAACTGCAGGAGGCTGACTGGAAAACTCAGGAGTTGTCTGAATAGGCTTCTTGCCAGACAAGAAATTTGTTCTTGGAGAAGCCTGCAGGCTGGCCCTCTGTGGCCTAAGCCTCCTAGAGGCAGCCTACTCTGAAGGGAAGCACTCAGCTTGGCTGCAGAGGTCTCTGGTGTTGTCCAAGAGGGGCTTTGCCTATGTGGCCACCACCCAATGTCTTCTGATGTCTTATAAGTACAGAAAGGATTTTGGTTTTTTGTTTTGTTTCTGGTTAAGTAAATCCCAGGAAACCAAGCCAGGCAGAGAAATGGTAGAACACTTTATTCTTGAATGTCTCCCCCCGAGGTAGCAACAATACAGAAGCTAAGTCGTCCCCTGTGAAGGGAAAAACCAGAAGCTAAGTCGTCCCCTGTGAAGGGAAAAACCAACAGTCAGAGCTCACTTCTGGCAGCCGAGGAGCCAGGAATATACCTCTACAGTGTAGATAGACTAGACTGCTGCAGAGACCAGATCATTGTCCTGTTCAAGAGCCTTAGAACAATTCTGCGACATCTGCCATGCTTTCCCTTTCCCGACTAAGAAGGAAAGCATTCATACCTTGTTTTGGTTCAGGAAACTGAACACAGTTGAGTTCAGCCTCCTGGTCCCTTCCCCCTAACTTGTTCATGACAGACCTTGTGGCTCATCTCTGTCTTGCCCTTGTCAAGACAAGGAGCTAAGTGGGCCCCCCTCCAATTGCTCACAACAGAGCCAGGGGCCACAGCATGGGCAGGAGGCCTGGGCATTAGCACAACACCCTTCCTCTGGGACATGCCCTACCAACACATATTGTTTGGGCAGCTGCATGAATAGGGAGCCCTTTCATCAACACGGAGGTCAAGAGGCGGAAATGTGAGAAGTGAAAAGCAAGAGAGAGATTCTCAATTGTGTATTGGCCCCCAGTAAGAATGGATGACCCGTGGAAGCCAAGTAAGTTGACAGTAAGTTACAGTTTCCCACCAGGTGGTTTCCAGGGAGGCTTCGGGGAGCCTTTGTCTTTCTCCCTAGATTTGAGGCTCTCATTTTCAAGCTGCCTATACTTGTGTTTTCCTAACCAGTGCTGGGTAACCGTGGTCTGGGCAGGTCTGGTAGTGGCTCCTGCGGCTCCCTGGCTACCCAGGACCTCACTCACATGCTGCAGCACTTTGCGAGGCAACTTCTCGGAATGAGCAATCCACTCTTTCATTAAGTCCAGGACTATAGGGATGAGGCTGACCACGCCTCCGTAGTGGTTCCTGGCCTCATCACAGCTGAGGTGGTTTACTACATCATGTGGGTACCTGCAGGATAGTGAGCAGATGGTGAGACCTACCTCATAGACAACAGGTCACCACAGGAGGTGTGAGAACTAGACTTAGAACCTCAGGCTCCATCCATCAGAAAGTTCAATGCAAAAACCCCAGGTACTTGTGGTGTAGGTAGCAGGAGCTCTCAACCTCCTATCACCTTTGTAAAATACCAGCTACCTTCAACCCTTCTCACCTAACATCTAAAGAGCTCCCAATAATTGATTCACGGAACTTTGAATTCTTTGGGATCACCATGGAACCACAGGGGATGTAACTCTGGTGTCCCACTTTTTCCCTGAGACTTTTTTTTTTTTTTTTTTTTTTTTTTTTTTTTTTTTGGTCCTCCTATGCCTGTGACCCAGTTTTAGATCCATTTGATTAGATAATCATTGTTGGTAGTTAGTGGCTAGGACTTGTATGGACTAGAGGCTGTGCCAACAAAGGAGAGCCAGCTCACAGGTTCCTATCCTATGATCGAGCACACTGTCCCATGTACACTCGTGAAGGACTTACTTTGCTCTTAGGCTGCTCAAGTCATTGCTTTGGCTAACCAGGGTTTTGCATTTCTCGAGAAGGCCGTTGGTGACAGGGGTGCCGGAGTGCAGGGCCTCAAAATGCTGGCAGAGCTTGTTGAGCTCTGAGCAGATGTCCAGGAACATGAGCAGGATTCTCCGGTCTGTCGAGTTGTTGCAGTAGTGTTCCATGTAGCTCTGCACCTGCAGAGGCCAGTGTGTCAGGAGCTGGAGCTGGAGGACAGAGGGCACTGTCCCAGGCCTCCCATGACCACAGACTTAATGCCAGACACAAAACATTTGAATATACAGCTAATGTTCTGTACCAAGCACCATTGCAAACAATACTTCCGTAAGCCTGATCTCCCTCATTCATCATCTAAACCCTCCACACTAGGTAGGGGCCTCATTTTACATACTCCCTAAATGCTAGAGGTTCAGACATGAGAAATAACCTGCTTGGGTGTCAAGAAAGTGGCTTGAATGATTTGCCTCCCCACACAGTGGCCTGGGCTCCACCACCCTTCTTAACCAAACCACAGAGGCATAAACAAGAATCCTTCAAGCTGGTTGTAGTGCATTTTAGATTTAAAAAAAAGTGAGCTACAGGCCTGCCTGGAGAAATGACTGTCCATATGAGGACAATGCGGTATGATACCCCAACCTGGATTCAGAGACCATCTCCTGTGTGTGTGTGCGCATGCGCGTGTGGCACAAGTTCATACCAGACTTCATATACAAAGTTAACTTTAAACTCCTACGACTGAGTAGGTAACATCCTGAGAACACTAATTCTCTGTTCCGCTTCCCAAGGCTTCCTTGGTTAGGGGTAGGAATCCCTCTATGGGTCTTCTGCTAGTTACTTGGGACCACCCAGAGCACCCAGAGACTTTGTCTCTAAGCACAGGCAAGGTGACATGGCTGGTCTTATGCTAGGGAAGAAGTGTCTCAGCTACAGAACTGAGTAATGAATTCAGTCCTTTCACAGCCTGCTGTTACTCTCTATGGAGTAATGAAACGGGGAAGCACTGCTCCCACCAATATCCACACTGTCTCTGTTTACATGGAGCTACCCTGTATCTTCTCAAGCCTGTAAGGGGTAGAGGCTTCTGACAACATATCTGTCCAGGTACCTGGGATGGGGATTGCATCAAGGTGTGACCACAACAGAGGGGACTCCTTGGTGTGTGAGTGGAGGCTTTGTGGGTAGACATCCCCTTCTGAACCTAAGGTGGGAAGCTCTGTCAAACAGGTGCTTAGAAGTGAGACTTGGGCCACTACAAGAGACTAAAAACCCTTGGAAGGATTGCCCTTGGAAGGTTGAGCTGCTGGGGGAATGTAACCAACTGCTCTTTCAATAGCTCAGGGCATGAGCATGGCCAGTGGACCACTGTGATAGATGAGTGGGTGTGGGGTGTGGATACAGCTTGCATGGTGCATTTTCTTCACATGGTCAGCATTTTTTCAAGTAAAAAAAAAAACAGTTTTGTTTTTTTTGTTTTTTGTTTGTTTTTTTTACAAATTTTAGAAAAAGAATGTTAAAGGGTGCCTTTGGCAAAGGTTGCTTGTTTTCCATAGTCTCATTTCTCCTGGGTACTTCAAGTACCACGTTGACCCCCCCAACCCCCTTTAAAGTCATCCTTCAGGGGAGCTTGACCTCTTTGCATTGGCCTCTTTGTTAGTTCTGGGATCCTAGTTACCCAGTGGCAGGGACCCTAACTTCCTGGAAGGCCTCTAGCCCCCACTGAGCAAACTAGGACAATAGCTCACCTTTAAAGAAACAGGTGAAAAAAAGTACCTGCAAAGCCTCCATCAGTAAGCTGGGCCAGGTGCCTTGAGAAGGACCGTTATCTGTCTGCTCATCAACAATCCCCAGTGCTCAGCCTAGGGCTTGCAGGTGACACCAGACACTCCAATGCTTAGTAAGGGATGCTTTCAATAGATGTGCCTTCCAGGCGGGGAAACTGAGGTTAGTGAGATATGCTCACCTTCCCAAGGTGGACATAAGGCCAAGCTGCCTGAGTCCTGAGCCCATATTTTAGTGACTGTCACATATCTGGCAGGTGGCAGTAACTGAGGGACTGTTTCCATCAGTTCGAATCTGAGTCGGCATTGGGACTAACATGCAGTTCTCCTCTCTGGGACCCCACTGCTCTGTGTTTTGGGTGAGAGAGCTGGGCTGGGAAGAACACCCTACCCCACCCTGCAGCAGCACCCGGCTCGCCAGGCATCACCTGTCCAATGCTGGAGATGGGTCGGATTTTGTCGTGAGCATTCTCCCTGCAGTGCTCTAGAGCTGCAATGAAGGTGAACTGTTGCTGCTGGAAGATCTTGTACTTCTGCTCAATGCTTCGGAGGGTCTCTTTCACCTCGTTCATTGTCTTCCTTGGGTCTCACAGGACAGGAAAGGTCTATTGCAAGGAAGGAGAGAGCCTTGAAGCCTCAGAGCTCAGAATCTCCATTCAGCTTTGGAGGGAGGTGCTCTCCCAAAGGAATGTGTCCCTACTTTGTGGAAAAGGAAGCAGGTCATGAAAGCCACATGCTTGTCCTAGGTCCTTCAAGTTCTCCACCACTGCACCAAGCCTGGCCTGTCCATTTACCCCCTCCAGGACACAGTCTGCCATGACCTGTAGCTTCCTTCACTTAGGGACAGATTCTCTGGTCCTCAATGTCTCCAGTTCATAGGGTCTACCCTCATACACATGCATACACAGCATCCAGGGCCTCTTCTGTAGAAAAACCTGGGAGTCAGGAACAAGCCACAGGACCCCAAACCAGCACCATGTCAGTTAAAAAAAATGTCTGCCACTGATGTAGGATGTCCTTCTGTATACAGCAAATGTGTTGCTTTTATTGGTTGATGAATAAAGCTGTTTTGGCTTATGGCAGGGCAGAATATAGCTAGGAGGGAAATCCAAGCAGAGATACGGGGAGAAAGAAGGCAGAATCAGAAAGTTGCCAGCAACTACTGAGGAAGCAAGACATGTAGAAAATGAGATAATGCCACAGCCACTTGACAACATATAGATTAATAGAAATGGGTTAATTTAAATGTAACATCTAGCTAGTAATAAGCCTGAGCCATTGGCCAAACAATTATACTACTAAGTCTCTGAGTGATTATTTTATAAGGGGCTGTGGAGCTGGGTGGGACACATAAAAGCCTCTGGCTAAATACCACTGTGAATTCTTCCTGTGAGCTAATCAGGGGAGAGTCAATGCTTGGTGGTTCCATGTGACTATGTCTTTCTCTGTGGTCTTGCTGCAGGTTTCCAGGGCAGGTATAGGTGCAGACTCCTCCTGTTTTATATTAATTAGCTGCATTATCTGATCAGTAAAGACATCTGCAGGGAGTGCAACCCAAAGGCCATCATTGATGTGATACTGACCATCCTCAAACACTGAGAATCTCCCATGGGCAGAGAGGGCAGGGTGCCCTATCCATGCTGTCACAATTTACTGACCTCAGACAAAAAATGCTTATAGTCTTTAGGGAATGTCAGAACTGGAAGGGATCTCAGTAACGTCCAGGGGTATATGGAAACCTAGAGATAAGGGAGTCCACTGATTTTGTGCCATAGATCCCTGGATTCCAGGCTTCCTGATGCCTAAATACCTCCTTACTGTCCCACATCCCTCTGGCCCTCCACAATTGCACACACAACTCAGATTCCAGCATGCCACCCTGTGTCAAATGAGCCAAGGCCATTCCAATATGCTAGAAGTAGAGGGGGCAGACACACAAGGTCAAGAGTAAGGGAGGTAGCTTCCTAGTGAGGACAGAGTGGAGCTGGGAAGACAGCTCTGTGGCAAAATAAATGGCAGCAGGGGAATATAAAAAACAGACCAGACCAGAGTATGACCTCTGGACACTGCCCTACAAACTGGAGAGCTCAGAGATGACTGGAGGGGAGGCCTTTTAGAGACCTGGGGTTGTCCCACATTAACCCAAGTGGGTGTCTCATGCAATTTAATACAGTATGCACTGTGTCTGCCAATAGCTGGGAGTAGGGTACCTTGGTTGGCCTGGTACAAGTCAGTCCCCAGGAGGAAGGGCAGCCTCTTCCTCCCTCCCCACCTCCCTGCACTCAGCCTTCTTAGTGACAGGGTGAGTATGGGGCTGAGGTTCTTATTTATTGGGCATCTGCCATGTCCTCAGCCTCTTCCCCATGGGACAGAATTCCTCACTTGGGTAAATTGGTTTTATAGTGTCCCCCCCCACCAGAATTCTGACTCACCAGGGAAGGGTTGAGGGAGAAAGGAGAAAGACAAAATTTAAGAATTGGGTGCCAAAAAAAAGTCAACATCCATTCAAGAGAGAAAAGAAATACTTTTAAAACTAAGTTCAAAGAATAAAATAACAGAATTTTAGAGAAATAATGTGCCTTCCCCTACCACAGCCTGTGGCAAAAAGAAAAAATATATAATGATAAGCCTTTTTTTATTAAGTGTTGATAGTTTATTCTAAATAGATGTTTGCCATTTGTTTTGAATTTTTAAAGAACGTTGCATTAATGTATCTATCTATCCTGACTGTTGAGATTTAGAGATACAGATGACTTCCATCCTGCCCTAGCTCAGAGCTTACAAATGACTCAAATTGTAACCTAGGAAAGTCAGAGAAGCCTGGTGGTGGGTGTCCAGAGAGATCGAAAGTGTACCTTGTTAGCCTGCTGCCTGCCTGTGCTGCTCAGTGCTGTGGTTGGCAATAGTCAAGGCTGTTCTGCTACCACCAGTCCTGGGTTCAGATCCTTTTCCACCCTAACTACTGACCTTGGATGACAATTGTCTCTGAGTTTGTGCCCTAACATACAGAAGGAGGTGGCAGCAGACACCCAGCCTTGGGGTGACATGTCCTTAGATGACAAGTGTAAGGAAAGCGGGGACCCCAGAAGGCAGAGCACAACAGACCTCAGAGCTACTGTTTATTATCCAGCATGCAGGTGACAGGTGACTGCTACAACAGGTATGGTGAGTACTTGAAGAGATATGAGGCCATAAGTGGAAGCTTATCCTTCTTGGGGGAGGAGTTAAACTCTAAGCTTGAAAAGAATGGGTGCAGGTAGACAGTGTACTCAGCCAATGGGGCAGGGATGTAAGACAGAGCAAGGCCCTAGGTCAAGCTGGATATTCAGAACTGCTGGAGGCATCTAAGCCAAAGGGTAGGGTTAAACATCACAGAGTCCTTCCTTCCCTGTGACAGATGCAATCTGGTGCTGGGTTCTGCAGCAATAGACAAAGTATATGAGGTCCTGCTCTGGATGATCCCTACTGGAGAGGAAGAGGTGAGGGCAGAGCTCAGAGTGTGGTAGGGTGGACACATGAAAGGCAGAGATGTATAATCTGCCAGAGGGGCACCTGCAGGGCAGATGCCTATAGACATCTGCAAGACACTGGCCTGACGACAGTATGAGAACAGCCTCTCACTCAGCAGTGTTCTAGGGAAGTCCCAGGCATGCATCATCTCAGTCCCTGGCCAGTTTAGGATAAGGGACCACAATGACCACATAGGATGATCAAAGGATGAAATTGAAACCACAGTTAGGAAGAGGGCAAGCCAGGATCTGTCACATCCTGGCTTGACTTCTCAGTGTGGCTCTTCCATTAGATCTACCCTCCTCTCCCTCTCTTATGTTCCCTAGAGACAAGATGGCAGGCATCGGGCTGGCTGTGGCTGCTGGGGAACAGGAAGGAGATGCTACTAAGGTTCTGAAGTTAACCACTTTAGGGTCCCCTACTAGCTAGCCCCTGGGCCTCCCATCCCAGAGCAATGAGGACTAGTACTCATGGGCTGTCTCCTCTCTGGGCTTCTGGGTTTTCCAAGGAGACAGAGCTAACTGGCTTGCTGTGGCCCCATGATCCCCCTAGAGTAAACCTGGCTCAGCTCTTGATCCTAGCAACTTGTGACATGCACACATCAGGCATGTCACAAAAGGGGCTGTAACAAGCTATCCAAAGTGATTGTCCCTTGAACACAAGCCTCTGCAGCCAAATTAGAGTGGATGAAAGACCTGAATTCAGGCACTCCTCTCTCTGGGGGGGGGGGAGGGAGGGAAAAATGATTACCCCTTGGTTTTAGGCTTTAATTGATTTGTATTTTTCCAGTCTGCTAAAGAAGATTAGATCGTGGTATGAAAAGTGCCTAGGGCTTAAAATAAATGAGGAGAAACGGATGCCACTTCAGAAATGTTCAGGAAGCATGCCGAACCTCCCCAGTGCAAGCTGCAGCTTGGCACTTATATTCTTTGTTGAAGAGGTGGCTTCTTTGCTCCCCAGCTGACAAGTCTACCAAGGCCTGAGGCCTTTGAGAAGCAGCCTTATGGACAGAAGGCAAGTGTCACAATCCCAGGCCAGGATGCCTGCTGCCAGCCTTGGGGCTGACTCTGATTTCACTCGTGGCTCCTGGCAAGACTTTCCCCTTTGCTAGTTCTCAGTCTCTGTCTCTGCCCAAGGAAAGACTTTGGATCAAAACTCTTCAAGCTATTGGAATGTCTGTCCTCTGCCCAGCAGCTGGCCAGGAAAGAGATCTGGAAAGAAGAAATGACTTGCCCAAAGTCACCCAGCCAACTCTTCTGTCCTGTCCTATATTCTGAGAAGAAAGGTTTTCATTTGATTATGCACAGTGTTGTGGCCCCAGGAATCCCTGAAAGCAAGCTGGACTTGGTTCTTGACCCATGTAAACAGATGAACTACAGGGGGCTTAGGTGTTAAGAGCACTTGCTGCTGTTCCAGAGGACCCAACTTTAGTTCCCAGCACCCAGACCTGTCTGTAATTAAAGCTCCCAGGGTCCAAACACACTTTTTCAGCCTCTGCTCTTCTACTGCCCCAACCGAATACACATAAATACTTGTAAGGTAGGGGCTACAGCTGTCCAAAGTGACAGAGGTGAGATCAAGATTAGTCTAAAGATTAAATGAGATACCACTATGGATTGTAGGGCCTACATTGCCTACTTCCCACTGGCCAGTCACTGTGGAATACTTCAGAGCAGTCCTGGGAGTAATGTCTGAGCTGCCCCCCCACTGGTCAGAGTGGAAACTGAGGCCCAGGGCAAATTTGTCTAGTTCACAGGGTACATCTGGACACACCCAGCATTTGGACTTTGGGCTGCCCCTGTAGGCTGTGTCTCCCTCCCTCTTGGCAACACTTGCCCCTTCCACAGCAGCAAGCTGTCCTCCTCTAGGCCAGGACACCTCCACCTCTCCCCCCCACCACTCCCCAAGTGTTTTCGATTCAGCTTTTGGGCTGTGCCCCAGCCCCCTTTACCCTGGTTTGACCCGGACTGGCCTGCGCCTCAGAGTGCCCAGAAGCTTGGAGTGCCTGCGTGGGTGTGTGGGCCCCCGGAGGGCGGGAAGGCCCTCCTCAGTTCTCAGGAAGCGGGGGAGTGGGCGGGGTCGAGGCCACAGAGACCCGCAGCCGTGGCCGATTGTGACCACAGGTGCCATGGCAATCAGGTCACATGGCCCAGCTGCCCAAACCAGGAGATCCTCTCAGGTTCTGGCTGACTCCGGCTGCCAATGAGTTTTGCTGCTGCAGACACAGGACCTACAGCTGCTTAGCGTCTTTCCTTTAAAGATAGGGAAATTGGGGTGCAGGGAGCAGAGTCGGGGTTGGACCCTAATTTCCCAGTATCCACACGGTGGCTGCACCAGAAGCAGGTTTCTGAATCCAATCTCCCTCAGGAGGGCCTGGGGATCCAGAGCTGTGGACCCTGGGGTGGAATTCTTCACATGGTGCCCCCTCGGAGCATCCTGAAATCTTTGCACTGTGACCTTCCCCCACCCCCCAACTGGCGTCCTGGAGTCCTTGTGCTGTGGTCTCACTGGCATCCTAGGGTCCTTGTGCTGTGATCCCTCAGAATGTCCTGGGGTTTTGCGCTGTGGCATGTCGGGGGTTCCTGTGCCCTGGGGAGGGAGAGCCTACTGTGGTCCGGGAGGCAATGGATGGAACCGGGACCAGGACTCGTCCCAGCGGAGGCGCGCACCGATGACGCACAGCCTGGCGTCCTAGCAACGCGGTTACTAGGGGAGCGGCAAGCAGTCTGAGACATGGATGCGACCACTGCCCCGCACCTCATCCCCCCGGAAATGCCTCAGTACGGGGAGGACAACCACATCTTCGAGATGATGCAGGTGTGACCGGGTGGGGTGTGAGGACACAAGACCGCAGGGGCCAGGCTGGTAACACGGTCTGGGGGGAGGTAGTCTCTCTTCTCAGTTACCCCACCTGTGAAATCCTGCAGTAGTTTCCAGAGCCTCATCTGGAATTGTGGTGGTCCAGCCTTGGGTCTTACCTAAGCTGGGCCCTAGCCGCTCTAACAAGGTAGGATCAACCCACCTGACTAAAATAGACCAGTCCCAGGAGACAACTGTGAAAAACAGAAAGAATTGTTCCATGTGACCATATTGGGAAGAGGAACACATACAAGTCTGGTGAGCCCCCCACCCCACCCCACGCCCCGATCCAGGTCCGGACATGAGGTTTAGAGTTAGAGGGCAAGGGGTGCGCTTAACTAAGCAGGCCCGGTCAAGCATGGCCCCACCCATTACTGACTCATCTTTGTCTCAGCTACATTCTCTCCGCAAGTTGATCAGACAAATTATAAGAACTCTGGAATCTCCTCTGGCTGACACCAAGCTTCCCTTTTCTTCTCCCAGAGTGAGATTCCCGGGAAATTCCAGTTTCTCAGTGACCATTGTCTTGGCTGTCAGTCAAAGGGAGAAAACGCATGTGTTTTGTCTCACTAGAATGCATTCATTCCTGTTGGGACAGGTTCATGGGTTGTCCAAGTTCAAGATGAAGTCCCGTGTGGGTGGATTCTTCAGCATTGACCTTTCCAAAGCCCTCAGCCTTCACCCTGACCCCCAGCCTGTCCTGATTCCCAACCCCCTGTGGCCTTGGACCAAACTGTATTCCCACCTATGTGAGGCCGTTTTCCACTCATGCTTCCCATGGGTACAAAAGGCATTTAGAAGCTGGACTGGGAATCTCTTAGCCAGTCAACCATTCTAAGGGCCAATGATAAACTAGGGCTCAGTTTCCAGTACCCTGCTGTGCAATTCAAGCACCTCTCCCCCCCCCCCCCCCCAAACAGAACCATGGTAACACATGAGCCCAGGTCCAGGAACCTGAGTCTCCAGCAAACATGCTTCCTTTGGAAAGAGTGAGTTGGCAGGGGAGACAAAGTGACCGGTCACAAATAAGCCAGCTACAGTGGGGGCAAAGAGGGGGAGATTGATGACCCTGGCCTGTTTTCCAATCACCAAGAAAGTTTTACGCTCGTTTTGATCATTTCCTTAAAAAAAAAAACCAGAAAAACAAAATCATTTTATTTCCAAATGGGAAGTTATAAAAATGGTGTCTGTCTCTTGTCTACCCTTGATGCCATCTAACATGGGTATTGTCGAAGCCATGACAGAGATGGGGCACTGGATCGTGTGCCCTTTCACTTACACTTGGATTTCTGTAGTAGACATTTTACCAGATGTCTGGGATCCACTGCTCTCTGCCCACACTAAGACCATTCCCAGAATTCAGTTCACTGTCACAGGCTCGGCTCCTTTTTTTGTCTTGTCCTGAGGAACACTCTTGGCATAACTCTGGGGCACATATTTTTCAGATGTACTATCTATGTAGCATCTTAGCCAAGAAGCAAGCAGTGACACACCCAATCAGTGAGAGTTGGAGGAAGGAGAGCTGAAGGGAAGGAACTTGCTGGTGAGGTCAGGAGCTGTGCTGGAACAGGATTTCCCACTGGTGCTTTTGACTGCCTGCACACCTTCTGTCCTCATATGCCAGAGTCCCTTCCTCCCCGCCCTGCTCAGCTCTCCAGTTCCCTGGTGTGCCATCCTGACAATTGCTTCTTCTGATGCGTTTGCTCAGTTGGGCTAAATGGGCAGACTTTAGATATTTGGCTGGTAAGTATTCTGTCCCACTGTGGAAAGACCCAGGCAGCGGGAATAGCTTTGTCCCCTAGCTAACATGAGCACTGGACTGGGCACCTGCTGTAACTGTGCAGACGCCAGGGAGGACCACCGAACCCATGGAGCAGTAGAGAAGAGATAAGGTGAGGCAGGGAGCGTGGGTACATAAGGCAGGCCTGTGCAGGAGCACAGGGTGGCAGGGCTTTACCTGGGTGCACTGAGATCTGATGACCAAGTAGCCAGGTCAAGGAGCAGAAAACAGTCTATGTAGAAGGCCAGCATTCACTAAGGTCCTGCAACAGGGCAACAGTGCAGGACCAAGAGAAGGCTTGGGTAGGGAGCACAGAGGGAGAAGAGGGCACTGGCTTCTTGGACTTCCTTGGGCCTCTGCTGCCAGCAACCCCAGCAGATGCCCCAATAGGTGATCTCTAAAGCAACCAGAGCCCCTGCAGGTGTTAATCTCCTGATATCTGCTGTGCCCACAGAATATGCTGGAACAGCTCCTGATCCACCAGCCAGTGGACCCCATCCCCTTCATGATCAATCATCTGCGCCGGAACAATGACAATGGTGAGCACTCACTCCAATGTGTGGTAACTGCTGCCACCATCTCCTCCAGGGACCCTACCCATCCTGGCAGCAGCCCAGAAGCTCACTATTCCTATCTGTGTCTGAAGGGAGATCAGAATAGGACAGAGCAGGGAGGTACTTGGACAAGTTGCGGTGGTTAATTGGAGAATGCCTTCTTTTTCTTTTTGAGACTAATAAAAATTCTCTTGCCAAGCTATTAAAATGCAAAGCCCAAAATGGCCCATGTAATCAATTATTAATGCTTCCGCCTGCCCTCGCTGATGTCGCCTGTTGGGTTTAAACTCTCTGATCACTCCACTTGTCAGGTGAAGTTTGGTTTCTGCTCTACCTAGACAGGTGAACACTTGGACTTTTCCAAGGGTCTCATTATCAGTACTTGCTAATGAGTTGCGGAACTCCCCAGACCTCAGTCAAAGGCAGGTTGGCCAGACCCCAGGCTCAAGTGCAAATCTGGGAAGAAAAGGCCCTCCAATAAGTAGGGCCCCTTTGCATCCCAGTGTGGTTGGTTTGCCAAACAAGAGCGAGGATTCTTGCCCTGGGTGAGCAGCTTGGGAATCTGGTATCTTGTTTGGTTGGTTGATTTCCCACAGTTCTGAGGGAACTTTATCTTACCAGTAAATTTAGCATTCAGGTCTTGAGGTGTCCCATGGTGGGACTGGGCTGCTTACAGTCTGAAGTGATGCTAAATTGTCTAATCAAAGTTCAGTTTAGGTTTCAACTGGGTATGGTGGCACACACCTTTAGTCCCAGCACTCAGAAGGCAGAAGCAGGCAGATTTCTGAGTTTGAAACCAGTCTGGTCTACATAGTGAGTTCCAGAACAGCCAGGGCTACACAGAAAAACCTCCTTGAAGAAATAAGGCATCTCTTTTATCATGGAATCTTATTATTTAGCATCAGAAATAAAACTAGAACAAAACTTTAAGAGAAAAATTTAAAGTTAACCAGAGCAGGCAGCTCACCAGCCGTCCTCACATGTCCTGCAACCTATCTGCTATTGGTGTGAATGTCATGTCTGAGTGGTTGTGCCTCTTGGAGGAGTCTTTTAAAGGTTTATTTTCATTTTTTGTGTTGTGAGTGTTTTGTCTGCAAGTGTGTTTATGTGCCATGTGCATGCAGTTCCCATGGAGGCCAGAAGAAGACATTGAATTCCCTAGCACTGGGAATTACAGATGGTTGTGAGCCATCACGTGGGTGCTGGAAACTGAACTCAGGTTCTCTGCAAAAGCAGCCAGTGCTCTTAGTGACTGAACTCTCTCCCTATGCCCCCACTGTGGGGAAATTTTTTTTGAGCTAATAATCTTCAAGCTTCCATAAGCCTCAGGCCTGGAGTGAGAGCTTAGACAGTGAGGCTGCTTTTGCCTTCACTCTTGTCTCAGTACCACTCTGTGGCCACAGGGAAGTATTTCAGCATCAAATGCCCTGCTCTAGCCTTCTCAAGTCCCCACATCATCATTCTGGGCTGGCTGCGTGTAGCTGATACCTGCTGAACAGCTTTCTCCTCCCTGTGACAATTTGCTTGTGGCCACATACCACACATTTCCAGACCTGTGGCTTTGCAAAGACTGCTCTTGGTGGTGTTTTCTCTTTACTCCACACAGCACCCTCTGCTGCAGGGAGTGGAGACCAGGCTGTGTTGGGGACTCCTTGCCACGTTGTCTCCCACCTGCCATTTGGATGGGTGTCACTTTCCAGCCTGGATGTTCTTCGGGTCCCATAACCATGGCTTTAGTGGCTTAATTGCCCCCCTCCCCAGTTTTCCACCCTACTCTTAGGCCTTGGTGAGCATTTATGGGACATCTGTGTCTTTAGATAGGGATGTTTAGAGGCTTTCATTCCTAGAAAAGTAAGGCCAACAACAGGTGGAGGGAGGCTACCTTGATGTTATGATTTTTCTAGGGTGTCGAAGACAAGGCAGGTGAGATAAGCTTGAGCCAACTTAGTGGGGTCCCAAGATATCCAGCCTGCACTTCCCTTGCTCCCCTGGGCAGTAGTAAGTGTTGGTTGCCTCCTAGTCACCAGGGCCAGGGTCACACTCTTCCTGCTTACTGGCAGCAGGGCAAACTTAGGCACATGTAACACTGGCCAGTGACTGACATGGGAGGAGGAACTCATCCCATCCTGTGAGCATGCACAGGAAGGAGGGAAGGAGCCCCATACTTGGGCTTGTAGCCCCTTTGCCTCAAGAAACACATTCAGTACAAAGTGAACGTTTACGGTGGCCCTGGGCAATATTAGCACAGGCGGTGGTGGGTATAATGGAGCATTTCGCTTCGTATCAAACGCTTGTCCAGGAAAGCCTTGTATTAGAGCTCTGATACCTGAGGGGCTCCTTGTGAATTTTAAATCATGTTCCTAGTTAAGCCTCAAAAGGCTTCATGGATGGAAAGGTTCTTTGATTTTCTTTGAAGTGGTTAGAGGAGTTTGATTACTCTTGGCAGTCAAGCAGCCTTTTATGACACTGTTTATAAATAATTACTCATGAGCTAGGCTGGAGTTTCAAGGTGTTAGATTTTAAGAAACCGAAATTAGTCACATAAGTGAGTATGAGAAATTGGGAGGGGAGAAGGCCAAGATGTTCCTCTTTAAAGCGTTTTCTTAGGCGTGTACAATTTGGGTGCCACTTACAGGAGCTGGGAACAGAGGGGATCAACATTGCCCCTGTAGCCCCTTCCCAGGGCCTTTGCCAGGAGTCAGACTGGATGTCCTGGTTACACGCTTAGTGTAAGATGTATCTACCATGTTCTCCAGCACTACATGCCTGAACCCTGATGGATCTGGCTGGTGACATCCCAAGGGATGAACGAAGGTCCACGCTTAGAGCAGTGGGCACTGGAGTAGGCTCACATAGCAGCCTTCCGGCATCCTGGCTTTGGCTGAGCAGGCATTCTCTCTATAGTCACAGCAATTTCTGGATTCCTGTGCCTTTCTAGCTTTGATCACCATGCTTTGCTGCTCTCCAAACTCTAGATTGAACTCTGGCTCTGACCTCACCTTCCCCCTCACTGGACCAAATGTCCACAAAGCCACCTCATTTCCACACTTGGGCTGCAAATGCTACCTGCTGTGACATCTCTCACTCAGATGGGGGCTCTGAGAGGCCTTGCTCTGGCCTGTGATTTGGAGTAGGAAATGGATCCCTTGATTCCTGCCCTGAGCCCTGCACTGACATCTCAGATGCCAGAAAATGCCCCCAGCATCTACAACAGCCTGTACCATGTGCTATACCCACCCCCTGCCATCAGCTCTGCAAGGTATAGTCCCTCGATGGTGGTGGCTGGTGAAGCCCCATGAACCATAGAGCATCAAGAACAAAAGCTATGGATGGCATCAGTGCCTGGAATAGCAGTGTTCTTCCCCTAGGTCATTTTGTGACCTTGCTTAGAGTATCCTTCCTGGCATGGCTCCCCAGCTGTGTTAGGTTCTGTGATCCTTTATCCTTTTACTAGAGCCTGTCTCAACTTGGCCACCCATGAGTCCTTAGCAGTTCCCTACAATGTTGATTGGCAAAGGGAGCCTTCTGTAGGTGGCAGCAATGGTAACTCTCAGAGGTCACGCCCAGGGCTGGGGGTTAGCTGAGGTGGCCATTGCAGGTTCTGCTGTGTGGGTGGCCCTGCAATATTGACTTCTGTGGAAAGGTTCATATGGATAAGACTTTGCACCTGCCCTCCGAAAGCTGGACGTTTGCTGGGGACAGCAGTGCCCGTTTTGAGGCCTATAATGAAGCTTACTATAGTGGAGAGGAAACTGCTGAAAGTAGCTTGTCCAGCTCCTCCACAGTGGAACCAGGGTGTAGTCTCAAGCAGGAAGAAGCAGTCGGGCCCAGAGTATCCCCTAACTGGGTAGAAGCAAAGATGTTCTTGACAGGGAATGACAAATGATATGTGGACATGTGTTAGCATCGTCTGGGAAGAAAAGGGCTGCCCCAGGCATCATTCGGGACCCCCTAAGGGATTCTCTGAGCCCCAGGGCCATGAGGAAAAGCAGGGCACATCCCTGCAGGCCCAAGGGAACCTAAAGGATCCTGGGGACTCAGGCCAGCAGAGCACTGTGGTACCCAGAGTGTACATCTCACTTTGCTAGCCTGCCTGCCACACGGAGACATGTCCCCTGTCACATACTCTATCTCATCCTCCCCCTGATGGGTCCTGTGCTACTTGTGAGACTTTCAAAGTTGGTCAAGAGAGTGAGGAGGTGAGGGGGGGGGTCATCTCACACTATTCTCCACCCTCATCTCAGAAGTGAGAAGGTACTGGGTATTTGAACTCAAGCAGCCTAGCAGAGTGCCCTTGTGCTGGCCTCCAAAGTACTGACCTAAAGGCTACACTCTAGTTCCATCTCCTCAGAGTAGACAGCATGCATGTCTTTCTTCTTCATAGAGTAGAGTCCTTCCAGCTCCATGTGGGCAGCGGAGCCTTTAAGAGAGTTGGGTAGACATTATTTGTGTGTCCTAAGGCTAAGAGCAGTCACTCTGAACAAGTAAGATGGAGCTGACATCATCAAGAAACTTCCTTGGTAGTGTCTAGACTAATGTGTCCATCTGACCTTGACTGGGCCCCTGTCCCACCCTTTCACTGTGATAGGCTTTTCTCTTCTCCCAGTTACCAGCAACTGTTTTATGCTATCCCAGATGACACTCCAGGGCTTCTGCAGAACCAAGACTATTCCAGAGCCAGGACTTACAGCCACAAATAAGCTGCCAGGGTTGTAAAAATTTGCATAGAAATGCCTGCATTCGAAAACAAAGACTCACCTACCTTGGGTTTTATAAATCTGGCCCATGCATTGCAGGCTTCTTTCCATTATTTTCTTCTATAAAATGATGGGGTGGGAGGGAGGATACAATTTGCTAAATAAAAAGGCATAAATATATATGCATCAAAGGTCTATTTACATAAAATACAACTTTATTTGAAAGAGTGTTCCCAAGACAAAGTCCCTGTTTAAAATGCTTTATGGCATTTGAAAATCCCAATTGTTTTTGATATTCATTAGTTTGGCAAGCAAGTTACTGTGTCCATGTCCCCACGGAGATAGAAAAGTAAACCATCTCTGTGATCGCTTACCTCTCTAAACACAGAGAATTCGTTCTGGGGCACAAGTGATTCCCAGCCTCAGGGTTATGAATGGTCATGTCACCGGCAGAAATGAAATCTGGGGAGGAAAGAAATAGACCCAGTGCAGCACAGACATGGCAGGCCGCTTTGTCATGCCCGGTGCTGACATCCAAATCTTTTCCTTCCACAGTGCCGAAGGTTGTGATATTAGGTCCGCCTGCCTCAGGGAAAACCACCATCGTAAGTACATTATATTAAATGTCATTCTAGAATGTGTCGTTCATGCTCTGGTGGACAGGGGCCTGTGCATTGGTGAATTGTCCACACACCTGCTTTTTTCTTTTCTTTCTACCCACTTTCTCATTACAAATGGCAGGGTGTGTTCATAGCCAGTGTCTTAGGGTTTCTATTGCTGTGAAGAGACACCATGACTGCAGCAACTCTTATATAGAAAACATTTTATCTCAGAGGTTTAGCCCGTTATCTTCATAGCAGGAAGCATGGCAGCATGCAGGCAGACAGGGTGCTGGAGACGTGTCTCAGAGTTCTATGAGCTTCTGAAACCTGAAAGCCCACCCCAGTGACACACTTCCTCCAACAAGGCCACACCCCCTAACAAGAGCCTATGGGGACCATTTTCATTCAAATCACCACAGATGGGAATTCAGAAAATGCAAAGCACAAGTCACACAGCCCTTCAGGGACAAGTGCAGCTTTAACAGTGGGGTGCCACCCCTTCCCTGGTCACACTTCAGAGGCATCCTGGGGCATTCCCTGGGCTATAGCTGGAGAATGCACTTCTAGAAGGGTCGTCAGCCTGCATACCTTAAAGGCTTTGATTGTGGTGTGAAGTGGCTGAAGTGGGAGAGCAGTAACACCACACCATAAGTGTGTATGTGTCAGTGCTCGCCATTTCACCACCCTTTACTCTGGGCTTTCCATGTTAAAGGAGAAGCAAGGCAAAGACCAGACCAAACCGGTAAACACCTCATCCCCTCCCTCCCTCCCTCCCTCCCTCCCTCCCTCCCTCCCTCCCTCCTGTCTTTTCCACACTAGACACTGGCCGGAAGCTGGTGCCATCGTCCTATCCATGATTTTAATCTCCAGGTCCTTGTTTTTACTTTGTTTTTCTTTTGAGACTGGGTCCTACCTCATAGCCTTGGCTGGCCTAGAACTCGTGTTGTAGCCCAGGCTGCTCCCAAACTCACAGTAATCCTCTTCCCTCAGTGTTGGCCACCATGTCCAGCTTCAAGTCCAGGTTTTCTTTTTTAACTTTTATTTTTATTTATTTTGTATGTGTGTACATGCACACATTGCATTTGTTGGGGGGGGTCATACATGGGCCACAGTGCATACATGGAGGTCAGAAGGCAACTTGTAGGAGTTGATTCTCTCTCTCATCATGTGGATCCCTGGGATCAAACTCGAGTTGTCAGGATTGGCATCAGGTACTCCAACACACCAAGCTAGTCCCTGGTTGCAGTTCTTAAATTCCATAGATGTGTTAGAATTATGATCTTCTGAGGTGGGACTCTTCCTGCCTTCTGAGCTCATGTCATAGTGGGGTTAGGCTGTCCTTTGCCCAACCTGCACTTTACCTGGCAAAGGAACTAAGATGGGTTATCCTTGCATAAAACATCCTGTGTGGGCTGCACTGTGAGGGTCAGCATAGCTCTTGTCATCATGCCAGGAACTGTTATATGGGTTCCAGAGATTGAATTCAGGTCTTTCTCCTTGCAGGGAAAACACTTTACTGACTGAAGCATCTCCCCCAGCCGGTGGAGTCATACCTAAGAAGTATGTGCATTCACCTTCATTTCTGTTTTCCTTTCTTCAGGCAATGTGGCTCTGCAAACATCTCAACAGCAATCTCATCACCAAGGAGAACTTGTTAGAAAGAGAGTTTTCTAGTCTGGCTGAGGAAGCCAAGAGACACTACCAGATTTATAAGGTAAGGCTGGCCCCTGGGCCAGGCAGGGTTCAGGGACAGAGCAGCTATGGCTTCAGATCTCCGCTTCCCCCTTGCTTGGCTAGTTTTCTTCCCCTCCTCCTCCTTTAAAACCATTTTTAGATGATTGTGTGTGTGTGTGTGTGTGTGTGTGTGTGTGTGTGTGTGTGTACATGATGGTGCACATGTGTGTGTTAAGACCGGAAGTTGATGATGAGTGTCTCACACATGTTCTCTTTTTAGTCAGGTCTCTCAGTGAACCTGGAACACACCTAGGCTGGCTGGCTGGCTGGTTTGCCTCCTTGTCTTATTTTAGCACACTGTTTCTCTTTAATGAAACAGAAATGCAAAGATTTTTTTTTTTTTTCAAAATTCCCTTTGAGCCAAAGGGTGGAGATGTGTCTTTGGCATTCTTTTCTGAGGTCCAGGCTCCCTCCTCCTCCTGTGGGACCCTCACATCTGCTGATACTCACTTTCCAGGTCCCCTCAGCCCCACTATCTCAGAGCCTATAGAAAGAGCCACAACCATTCATTTGTGGAGCCCTGGCCACAGTCAAGGCCTCTTGGCCCTTCTAGTGCTTAGACGTCAGAACATGGGATCCTTATACATCAGCCAGCCCAGCCAGCTGGTGTGCTCACTCATGAAACAGGAACACAAGCAAATCTGCCTTTCAAGCTGATCTCATGAACTTTAGGTAGCTTTTTCTCAAACCAAAGATTAGACTGGAGCAGATAAAGAGTAGTCAGACCTGATGGTCATTGTGGTCATGTGACCCAGCCACCTGCTGAGCCACAGGCACAGGCTGGGAGGTGTGCCCAGACTGCAGAGTTAAGGTTCATTTGAAGCTTTCCTAAGAGCTGGGCTGTGATGCTGCCAGGCATGGAAGATCTTGGAATCAAAGTGTCAAAGCACCCCAAGGGGAAGGACTGCCCCCCAAGACACTGAGGCCTCACACTGCTTGCTCTTTGTTTATTCTGAACTGTATATTGTGAAATATGACAAAGATATGCAGGAGATCTGAGACCTTTCCAGACCAGGCCCTGGCTTCAGCTGCTCACATCAGGCCCCACAGCTTTAGGATTGAATTCTCCGCAGGAAGCATGCAAACTTCCTCCCCCAGGGGTTCCCTGTTGCACCCACCCCAGCAGCACAGTCCACTCCCACCCTAGGCACCTTTTAAACCACCTGAGGCCTGGCCTTGCCTTGTGCATTGAGAGCCAGTCCTCAGGAGTAGGATCAAGCTGCAACATTTAAAGATAGCACCTTGAGACTTCTGAGATGAGAGCCCAAGCCCACCCAACATGTCTGCCCTCTGTCACTGTAGTTAATGATGCCATACTTGCTGTGTTTGGGTGTTCTCTGAAAGGCTGCATTGGAGCAGAGCTGCCCGTGTTTGTGGAGTGAAAGAGTAGGCTCAGGGAAGCCTTCCTGAAGCTGGGTTATTCCCAATTCAGGTCTCCACAGTGTTTACAGTGTATTTTCCCCCTGTATCCCAGGCTGACTATGGGCTTCCCAAGTGCTCGGCTACAGGCTTCTACCACTGCGCCTAGTTTCGTATCTACAAATTTAAAATCTGGTTGCTGGCTTCTGTGCTGGCCTGGTAGCCTTCCAAATCCCAGGGCCAACACTGCCTGTCCCTCCTTGGTTGTCGCTGGCTGCCTTGTGGTGGAGTCTGCCTCTCTCATTCCCTCCTTCCTCTGGTCCCCATGTCCCCAACCTCTGCCTCTACAGAGTCTTGGGGGTGGTTGTTCCTGCCATCCCTTCATTTCCTGCTGACTTGCAACAGCTTCTCTTCGCTTGGGAATCTGGAAAATGTTCTTTAAAAAAGAAAATATCTTTTTACTTTTAAATTATACTGTGTGTGTGTGTGTGTGTGTGTGTGTGGTGTGTATGGGGTGTGTGTGGTGTGTGGTGTGTATGGGGTGTGTGTGGTATGTGTGTATGTGTGTATGTGTAGTGTGGTGTGTATGGTGTATGTGCGCTCATGCAGGCTCCAATTCACTTGTGGCAGTCACAGAACAACTCAGAAGAGTAGATTCTCTTTCTACCAAATGAATTCCAAGAACTGAACTTAGGTCATCAAGGTTGGTGGCAAATGCCTTTACCCATGCAGCTACCTCTTTGGACCCCCAAAGTGTTCTTGATCACTCTGGCAGAGCTGCTGTTTGTGCGGAAGGCAGATCAGGGGCACCCAGCTTGTCCCTTCCTGCTGTATTGCTAGAGTCTGTTCTGTGCCCTGAAGTGCCCACCTAGGTAACCTAGGGATATTAGGGTCCCCAAGAGTGGAGCCTGGTGATGTGACCCAAGCTCATGCCATTCCCATATGAAATGAAGTCCAATCCTGGAAGTTAAATGGTCCTGGGGCAGAACCAGGCACAGCCCATACACATGCCCCCCCAAGCTTCCAATCAGCATGTCCTTCTAGAGAGGAAAGCACATTGGGGTGGCACACCAGCCATCCCACCACTGGGCCCCAAAGCTGCTAGAAGAAACACTGGAAGCTGCCTCGTAAGAGAACAAACCCAGACTGGCTGGAGTAGATGCAGCCAGCGCTGTCCCTAAGAAACCAGGGAAGCAGACCCACCCAAGGCAAGCCTGGGCACTCACCCCTGTCCCAGGAGAAGCCACCTGGGCTCCATCTACTTGTCTCTGCCTTCCCCCACAAAATCCAGGCCTGGGGGTTAGAGGGTGGAGATGCATTGCCAGGTTCTGGAAGGAGGCAGCCTGAATCCTGCAAAGAGTCTGGCAGGGCTTCCAGAAGCAGCCCAGAAGCCCTTGTGATGATGTGACACATCAAAGCTGTGATTCAGACAGCACCGTGGCAGGGAACGGCAGGGGGCACTTGGGGTGGGCATTGCTCAAAGCCACCACCCAGCCCCTGCTGGGAAGGCTTCCAGAGGCTCACACCCACCTGGGCCTGCCACCTTTCAACCGTGTGCTTTGACTGCTTGGATTCCCTGCATCTGAGCAGGTGCTTCCTGTATCCCTGTATTTATCTGAATGCTGTATGAGTAGATGGAATCAGGGAGGGGGGTGAGCCCTGGGAACATGACACAGGAATGGAAACAGCTCTGTCTGGGAGGGACTGGAGGGAATAGGAAAAGAAGGTGCTTCCCAAACGCACCCCCAATAATGCCAACCATGGGGAGCTCCACTGGACACCTAGGAGGATGTGGGCACCAGCAAAAAGGCAGCCTCACTGGCCAATGGCTCCCAGCCTAGTGGACCCTTTATTAGGTCACTTTAGGCCAGAGGTTCTCCATGTGAAGCCCCAGTCTAGGAGCGATGCCACCACTTGGAAACACATTGGAAATGCAGAGTCTCAAAATAAGGACTCCTGGGGCGGGTTCCAAGAAAACCGCTGTCTGTTCTTGAAGATGTGGCACCATTGGTAGAAGACTTGCCTAGCTTGCATCAGGCCCAAGATTAGGTCCCCAGTAGGCTCAATCATTCAAGGTCATCCTTAGCTATGTAGGAGTTGGAGGAGAGCCTGGGAGCATAAAACCGTGTCTCAAAAAAGCAAGGGCTGTGGGGGGAGGGTTGGGGGGAGTGGCTAGGGAGATGGCTAAGTAAGTAGAAAGCTTGCTGTATAAGCACAAGGAGCTGCATTCCATCACCAGCACCCATGGAAAAAAGCCAGGCATGTGGCATGCATCTTTGTCATCTTGGCACTGAGGAGACAGAGGCAGGAAGGGTCCTGGGGCTAGCCAGCCAACTGAACCTAGCTGGAATGTTCCAGGCCAGTGAGAGGAGGAGGGGGGGGGAAGAAAAGAGAGCAAGGCTGGTGGCACCTGAGGAGGAGGTACCAGCTTTGGTTATGATTCCAGGACTCCATGTCATTATTTCATAAAAGCCAGGCTTCCAGGAATGTATTGATGGCACTATTCTGATGCTGGGGCCAGGGTCTGTGTCAACATTTACACCCAGCTCTCTGGGTATAAGACCTTCTACCATTTATTGGGGTGTGAACACTCTCACCAAAGCCAGCTTTTGGTCACCAGTGTGAAGTTATTCGGTGTGCACACACATTCAAGCCTCAGCCAACTGGCTCCCACTCCTACCTTGTGTGGGATACAGAGGCCAACAGCCCAGTTCCTTTCCTTGAGGAATGTCACCACTACTGGGAATGACAGACACATCCTTGAACATCATGTATAATGAAAACTTCATTATCTGTATTCATGGGCCACGGGGTGGTGTGAGGTGTGCACTCACGAGCCACAGGGACCCTGAGGGTGGGAAGTCTGATGCTGGGCATATCTTGTATGGGGAGAACGCTCAGGGGCCCAGGCAAGGGTGCTGCCTATGTCTGCCACCCTGAGTGCCAGGCTGGGGTTCGGGACCTCACGTTATGTGTCTTCCTTTCAGAGGATTCCCAATTCAATACTTATCAGCCTGGTCCAGGAGCGCCTGCGTGAGGATGACTGCCTCAGGAAGGTAAGACTACCTGTCACTGCATGGATAAATGGGGAAGGATGTGTCCATCTTTGAGGATATGGAGAAAGTGAAGCTGGCAATTAGAAGCTGAACAAAGGTCAGTCTGTGGTCATGGGTTTCAGAGCAGTTGACTGCCCTTTTGGGGTACCTATAGGGACAACTAACCCAAGGGGTCCTTGGAGAGCAGCCAGCAAAATGAAATTGCCAAATTGTGTGTGGGAGGGAGTAAGTGAACCAGCTAGTGACACTGAGGTGTCCAGAGTCTTTGACTTTTGATCTTTTTAAAAATTTATTTATTTTATGTCCGTGTTTTGCATTCATTGTATGTTTGTACATCCCATGTGTGCAGTACCTATGGAGGTCAGAAGGGGGCATACTATCCTCTAGAACTGGAGTCACAGACAGTTGTGAGCTGTTTTGATGGGTTGCTGGGAACTGGAAATTAGTTCTTTAGAAGAGCAGCCAGGGTTTTTAACCACAGAGCCATTACCCTGGCTTTTACTATTTAAATCATTCCCTGCACAGTTTCAGAAAACATGGCTCAGTGTTTGAGAGCCAGCCACAAGTGGGCAAACAGGCCCAGAGTCACACCAAGAGAGATGAAGGAAAACTGGAACAGAAGCATGTGTTGGATAACAGCAACACAGGGAGCTCCCTGCCCCACAACGCAGGGGAAAGGGTTTTATGGGAATGCACATAAAGACAGGTCACACTGTGCCTGGCCTTGCCCAAAAGCTATTCACATGTCCAGCATGGGTTGAAAAGCAAGTCCAGCTCCAGGGGCCACACAGCACACTTGCTGTCTGGCTGAACGACCCTGCTCTCTAGGGCTTGGGATGATGCATCAGGGTGACCTGATGGCAGGATGGCAGTTAAACCAAGATGGCCATACTCACATCCTGTTGATTCCAGTCACACCAACATATCTATTGTCCCTGGGTCCCCTGGGTTCTGTCCCATTTTTATTTTCTCTGCTTATCAGATGTGATAATTTATAATGAACTCTACCAGGCCCCTTAATCTTTCCAGTCTCATCCTTTGCCCCCTCTGAGCCCAACCAATGAAGTTTTTATTTGGGCGATTATTTTTCTCAGGCCTAAACTTTCAGTTGGTTCTTTCTGCCTCCTGTTTCTTTGCCAAGATACTAATCTTCCCATCACGTGCTAGATTGGCTTAAAAAAAAAAAAAAAAAAAAAAACCCACAAACTATCTGCTTTAGAGTCTTTGTTTTGTGAATGATTCTAACACCTGAGCCACACCACAGTGCCGTTCTTTTTCTTTCTCCACATGGTTCATGATTGGCCTGGCTCTCCCTGGACTGAGTGGGTTATATCCTGGGTGCTTTTCATGTCATGAGACTCTGGGTCCTATCCTGTGGTGGACGTTGACATCTTGGTCTCAGCAGCTGATTGATTCATTTGGGTTCTAATAAGTTCCAACCAGGTGGCTCTGGGTTTTGGTTTTGCTATGGACCTTGTTTCCAGCTGTGTGTGCGGACTGCAGGGCCATGCCATCCTTTGCTGCCTCTGCACCAGAGGGCCCTGGGTGAGATCAAAGCCTTCATTTCTCAGAACACTCCTTGGAATGCTTTTGGGGAAGTCAGGGTAGTAGGATATGAGGCGATCAGTCACATGTGTCCACAGTCTGGAGGTAGAGAGATGGATGCTGGAGCTCAGCCCACTTTCTCCTTTTTATTCAGCCTGAGTCTCCAGCCTGTGGTCAGGGTGGGTCGTCTCTGCTCAGTGAAGCCTGTCTGTACATGCCTGGATACCCAGAGTTGTGATCCCATGGTGGTCCTAGTTCTAGTGAGGCTGGCATTGCAGGTTAATCAACATTTCTCTAAAACAAACAAACAACCATGAGTGAAATAAACCTCATGCCAAAAAAAAAAAAAAAAAAAAAAAAAAAAAAAAAGCCTTAGATTCCACTGTAGCAAAAACTAACTCTGGAGTCTGCCTTCCTCAGCTCCTTCCCTGGTCACTTCCTGTTGCGCACTCCTTCCAGCCAGAAAGTTGTGATTTTACTTCTAGGACTCTGCTTCATGTTTCCTATAAATGTCCCCACATCAGGGCCATGGAGACAGAAAATAAAGAAAGGGCAAGTTAGCAGGACATTTATTAGTCTCTTGGGATCCTGTTTCTGAGTCATGCTAGCTGCAGCAGGAAAGCCTGTAGACTAGAGATCCTCCCACATACTCCCCCACCCTGACCCTTCCTCCTGCCCCCTTCTCCATCCCCTCCTTGGTACCCATTTTGAGGATATGGATGTGGAGGCTGGAGTTTGACATCAGGGTCTTCTATGATTGTTCTCCCTTCCATTTACTGAAGAGGGGCCGCCTGCCATGGTTGCGGTGTCTCCAGGAGGTTTGGTCGTTGTTCCCTTCTTCGTGCCTGCATTTCCCCACCTTGTACAACGGGGCTGTGCTTCAAGTCAGAGGTGCCTCTCTGACCTACATGTCTGTGATTGTGATTGTGTCCCAGCCATTGTTACCTGCAAGGGAAAGAACCACCTCCTTCAATTTGTCTTAAGATTTCTTTTAACCTTCAAGGGGCATCTGGAGCCGTTTTCATCTCTTCCCAATGGAGACAGATTTCCAGGGCGAGGAGAGGCTTCTAATTATGAGCTTTGGTTGTTCAAAAGCAAAACAAACCCTCACCCAAAACAAGCGGGCTCTCTTGCTTTTCGGGAGAAAAGTGACACATATGCATATTCATTTATATGGTAATTATTATTATTTAGCTACACAGGGACTAGAATCAGTAATTTAGAGCACAAAAATATTGCAGGAAATAGCGTTCAGGGAAACATAACCCATCACGAGTCTGTAGTTGATGCCCGGTTTCTTTTCTTTCTCCTGCGTTTTTTCTTCTTTTGCAATCTCTTTGAAGAATTTTATTTGAAGTGACCATCAAATGCATTAGAGAAAGAGAAATTAGCAGTTGGTTTCACAACTATGAAGAGGTGGCAGCTCAACCTGCTAGAGATATATGAGGTGCTCTGTCGGGGCAGTCATGTTCCTGAGGTCAGAGTGTGCCCACACCACTTCTCTTGGACAAAGGAGAGCTAAGAAGGAAGGTGTGGGCACCAGGAATGTGCATCAACAGGATCTGAACCAGAGACTCTGTGACACCCTGCCTGGAATGTGTGCGCTCTGCTTGATATGGATGGGTGGCATTCCCTTTCCTGGTCTGACTTTCTGAAGTGACCAGGTTTCTTCCCATGGCTTCCTTTAAGTTGCTTCCCACCCGCAAGCATTCAGAAGGCTCTGGTTCAATTTCTAGCAATGCATCAAAAAACCTGGTGTGGCAGAGAGAAAACGAAAAGTAAGATGAATGTTTTTTTTTTTTTTTTTTTTTTTTTTTTGGTCACTGTCTATCTATTCAAATAGTTTAGAACCCAGAAGCCACCAGAGGACCTTCTCCTGGCCACTCCCAGCTACCTGGGGTGGTTCCTCCCCTCAAGATAGCTGTGGAGAAACTTGCCTCTGAAGCTCTCCCTTCAGAAGATGCTGTTCTACATAAAGGAGGCAGCTGTTTGTTTTTTGTTTGTTTGTTTTTTAAACAAATATGAATCTGGGCATGGTACACATCTGTAACACACACACCACCACCACCACCACCCTGGCACTGGTGGGTCAGAATGAGGCAAATCCCTGGCAGTGAGTATAATTGAATCAATGAGTCTTCAGATGCATGTGCATGTATATGCACACACACGTGCACACACACACACTCATGCACACTCATGCATGTGCACACGCACTCGTGCACATACATACACATACACATACTGGCCAGTGTGTGTAGCTGAATCAGTCAGCCTCCTCATACACACACACACACACACACACACACACACACACACTCACTTAGAGCTGTCCCACAGCGCCCTCTACCTGCACCCCTCCATGCAGCCTGCATTCAGCTTCATCGTTCCATCACCCACCCTTCTTGGATGCCCAGGACTCTGAGTCCTCCTCTGGACTGACCCCACTCCACTCAGGACCTTCACACTTTGTAGCACATAGACCCTAAGGTACCTGTCCTTGGCTTTCTACTTCCTAAACTACATCTTGTGTAGTCCCCTCCTCTGGAGCAGGTGAGACCACAACCAGGCATCACATCATACAATAGTAAAGTGTCTTGGCAGACCGGAGAGGGAGGTTCTCCTTGTTGGCACCACACAAAGAGCAGCCAGGTTGGAGAAGCCCCAGTGGTAGCCTCTGGGCACAGTAGTGTGCAGCCAGCCTCCACCAGTAGGAACAGATGGGTGCTGTCCCAATCTGAATGAGCCAAAAAGAAAGAGAGCTCTTCCTCACCCGAGCCTCCAGATGAGAACACGCTTCATTGTGTGAAGGCCTCTGTTTTTGCATGAGTGACCCACTGCCTGCCTGTGACATGCATTGTAAACAGGCACAAGTCTTCCCTGTGGCCCTACTTGAGGGGAGATGGGGGCACCTTTGCACGAGTCATCTCTCTTCCACGCATTTTCCGGCCTTGAATCGCCCACTGGGATCTGGTTTTAGTGACAGAACAGGGCCTGCACAAATGTGTGGTGGCTCAGTCACAGGTGCTGACCCAAAGCCCCACTGGTGGCCTGGAAGACACCCTCAGTTCTGGCCCACTGGCCCTCAGTCCACACCCAAGTCCTCACCGCGGAACAAGCCTCAGTTGCCCTCCCACAGTTATTCGTGTGTCTGTATGTGTGTACACGCATGGTATCTTCCCATTACTACACACTATTCTTAGTCTTAGTATTAATTTAGCATGTCTGTGCATGCTCAGGTGCCAGTGGACTCCAGAAGATGACAGTCGATCCTCTGGAGCTGGAGTTGTAGGCAGTTGTGAGCCATCTGATGTGGGCGCTGGGAACCAAACTCGAGTCTCCTGGGAAAGCAGCAGGTTCTCTTAGACTCTGAGACATCTCTCCAACCCTCCCACCTCTGAGACAGGGTCTTCTGCTTTTACCAGGGTTTTCCTGGCTCTACCTTCCTGGCACTG